TATTTCTTTTGGCGACGAAAACTGAATTATATTTCGTCGCAAACTTTGTTATTTTTTGATTAATTTATTTATTTTAATTATTTTTTATTACAAAATAAAATCCCCCTGTCAAAAAAAAATAAAAAAAAAAACCAAAACCATATTTGCTCAAAAATATTAAAAACCACGATTACCAATTAAATATCAAAATACAACACGAACATCAATTCAAAAATTACATAAAAACTTGAAACCATAAATGTATTAGTTCAAGAGGCACACTAATTTTTATACCTCATAAACATAAATATCAACCAACATAATCGTGAAAAAACAGTTTGTGAAATTCGCAATTAAAATCGGAAAACAGAACGAAAATTGATACGATTCGGAAAGAAGCTTGCCTCTGATGACCTGATCTCTTCCAGTAAGGTCTGCAATCCTCTCCCCGAGCTCGAGCTCTTCATTTCTGTTTCCCCCTATTCCGAGCACTTTCTCTCTCTAAAACGCTGTTTCTCTCTCTTTCCTTTTCCTTACCCTTTCCCGCCAATTCGAAAAACTTTGTAGGGCTTCATTTGGCATGTTCTCAGAAAAAAAAAAAAAAAAAAAAAAAAAAAAATTCCACCGACACAGTAGCAAAGCAGACAAAAATGAAGAAAGAAACATACACATTCACCAAAACACACACAAGCACAACAGACTCACAAACATAATTCCGAGCAACGGTTTTTCCGAGCAAACACGTAATTCCGAGCAACATAAATCCAAGAACAATTCGCATAATTCCGAGCAACAATAATTCCGAATATATCCGAGCAACACAGGCTCATCAAATCAACATATAACAAACAAACACATAATTCCGACAAAAAACCTAAAAATAGATCGATAATCGAACACCCACGTAATTTTGAACATAAAAAAACAAACATTTAAAAAAACATAAAATTACCTTGAAATTGGAGGAGTAGCGGCAGAGGGCTGGCGGCGGACGGCGGAGGGCTGTCGGCAACGGCGGAGGGCTGGCGGCGGAGGGCTGGCGGCGGACGGCTGCGACGGCAAATTGGGGGCAACGGCTGGATGACGGCGGGCGAACGGATGTGGGCGACGGGTAAGCAGCAGACGGCGGCGCAAGGCGGGCGGGCGGATGTCGGCGAAGGCTCAGCAGCAGACGGCGGCGGTGGGCGGCGGTGGGCGACGGCAACGGCGAGGGCAGATCGGAGGAGATGGAGAGGGGGAGATTTTGAGAGAGAAGGCCGGGAGGAAATAGAACTAATTAGGGCTTAGATTGAGTAATAAGTCAATCTTTGCGACGTTTTTACCTTTCCGTCGCAACATATAAATAACTTACAAATAATTGGCTACTCCTAGCGACGTTTATGCCAACACGTCGCAACGTATATTATTAATTTTTTTTTTTTAATAATATTTGCGACTATTCCGCCTGTTACGTCGCAAAAAATCTGTAACGTAGCGACGAAACAATATTTTCGTCGCCACGAAAAGTATTTTTTTTTTTTTTTTCGTATTAGCGACGTTTCTATACTTTTCGTCGCGTACTAGCGACGCTTATCCGGAATCGTCGCTAGGGTTTTGAATTAAAACTAGATTTTACACTTTGAGCGACGATTTATGCACAGAAACGTCGCAAACGTGCGACGAAAACATAACCGTCGCGAAAAAAAACGTCGCCAGTCTTGCATTTTGGCCTAGTGATTCTCTTCTTTTAGGTTCAGAGTTGAGTTCGGAATCGGAATCGGAATCGAAATATGATGCTTGAAATGGTAAAAGGGTTAGTTCATAAATAAAATATTTCAAGAATGTTATGATATTCATGCATAGAGTGTTCTTTGATATTGTTTAATTCATACCTAATGTTATCAACGTGTCTACAATTTATGTTTGCACAATAATCGAAAAAAGAATGATTCACTATTTAAAAAAAAAAAAAACAATAATCAAATGATTGTAAATTTATGTTCATTATATTAGAATCAACAAATTGTTACTAATTTGTCTGATAAATGGGGACACCTACCATATGTATATATAAAATAATGTCACTAATTGAGCATGATCTATATTTTGCAATCTAGCAAGTCTGCTTTATGTATAAACTATATACACAAAATTTTGTATTTATATATACATAATTATTTAATTTCCAATTTTTTGTTTTGTCAATGGAATTGTGGTTAGGCCTAGGGAAGAGGTTGCTAGGTAAATTGGTATATATTTGTTGAAATTCATACAATATATATATATATATATATATATATATATTATATATATAGGGATATTAATATGCTACTGTAGTGGTGGCTGGTGGTGGCGGGCCACCACTAGCGGCGGGGGCAATTTGCTTTTGAATTAATTATAGATGTGGTGGTGCATTAGGGAAAGGTGATGGTAGTGATTAGGGTTGAGTGGCTCAAAACTTTTTTTTCATGCTTGGGGTCCCTCTTAAATGCTTAATTTTATATTACTTTTCTTATAATCCAAGATTAGTACTATAGTCTAGAGTAATCATCATTATTCATCTAGTCTAATTCATTTAATAATTTTCCCAATATCCATGCCCCATTAGTTTGTTATATGAAATAAAAAAGGGTAAATTAGGAACCCCTGAACTTAGGCTAAATTACGAAAAGCACCATCACCTATATGTAATTACTATAATTCCCCAACATTTGTTTCCGTCTTACATCGACCCCCTTAAGGTGTGATTTTTCACAAAATTTTTTTGATTCGAGGGAATATTTTCCAAAATATGACAATTCTACCCTGCTGACGCAGACGTAGCATTTCTTCATGCTAATTTTTAAAGATAAAAATACCTTAATGGGGTCTTTGGTGGTGTTTGCAAACGCTTTTCTAAAGTGATTATGAGTTTTTTTTAGTTCAAAATCAGTTTTTTTTTAACATTAAAAAGCTCGTAATCACTTAGGAAAAGCATTTGAACACCACCTTTACATGAAATATTTATTCTTCTTAAAGAACACCTTCACAATTTTTTAATATTACATTAACCCTCTAAGGTAGTTTTTGTCTTCAAAAAGTAGCTTAAAGAAATATCATGTCTGAACGGTATAATTAGTATTTTTCAAAAAGTATTCCATAGAATCAAAAAGATTTCATGAATAATCACACCTCAAGGGGATCGTTCTAAGACATAAACAAACGTCGGAGAATTTTGATAATTACTGATAGGAGGGGGAGTTTTTTGACAATTATTTAGTTCCATGGTATTATTATTATTATATCAATAAAATGTGGCTCTTCATATAGATTTTTTTTAATTAAAGTATTAACAATAATAGTTGAACCAGACAGAGCAAAAGGGGACACTGGTTTATTATTAAAAATGATAATTATTGACTATTTCTTCTCTAAATAATAATATTTATTGTAAAAATTGTTGGAATAGGGTATTTCCAAGTGTCTGTGAAACAAGGGGTGGGGTGTGGATTAGGACAGGGGTACAAAAATAAGTATTTAAAAGTTATGAAGAAATCCCAAAAGAAATAAGTTTGTTAAATGACAAGATTTGGATGTAACTAAGACATTTAATGCACTAATTGTATAAAAGAATCTCATTTTTATTTTTTTTATTACGAAGAAACCCGTGGCCAACCATATAAATGCACTGGATAAACCTACACTCTCGTATAATAGCTTGCAAACCATACAAGAGACGTAAACTACACTAGACTAACTATGTGTGACAAACTTGACCTAACGACCATTGACAAGCGAATTCGAACTTAGGTCGTCCGATGCAAACTCTCTTGCTCCAAGGAAAAATCTGTTTACTTTTCATTTCAAGAAGAAACCAATATGCACATGGCATTGTCTTGTTATGATACAAAGACTGCATTTTTATTAGTCATTTCTGCAGAATAAAACAATTTGGTACTGCAACTCTCTTAAATTGCAAACAACCCTACAATATTTCCAGACATGATACAATGATAATTCACCCCAAATCTTAATAAAGAAATATTAATCCCTATCCATCCATCCCTTTTTAATCAATCAAACCCCTCTTTTTTCCCTTTTTGGATTTGAATACAGACTAATAAGCACTTAATACTATCAAACATAGCCTTAATATTATCATTCAACTGATGATAATTAATCAACAATGTAAACATCATTAATCGCATCAAGAAACCAGTTTGTTTATGTCTAAAGTTGAACATGATTTAGAGTGACAGTCTATTTTTTGAGCAAGCAATGAAAAAAAAAAAAAAAATCGACCCCAAGAAACTCGAAACGCAGATAGCTTAATTACCAATTTGCAGGTCTCGTTAATACGGTAGTAATGAAGTCTCGGAGTGACAGTAGCATGCATTTGCATTCAATCCACAAACCACGAAAAGTAATAAGAGAAATGATCATACAACAAATCATCCAAGATAAGCATTTAATGCATCATATGATATACTAATTCAGCTATGGAAGAAAGCATACGAAATCTTGCCTTTTTTTTTCTTTCCGTATTGCTTCCGAGACTGCATTTGTATGTAATGCTTTCGATTCGAGTGTTGAAGGATAATTATTCCTTGAGGATTTCAAATTTTATTGCAATGGTGATTTTTCCCTCAAAGTTGAACATGATTTAAAGTGACAGTCTATTTTTTGAGTAACCAATGAAAAAGAAATTGATCCCAAGAAACTCGAATGAGGAAACACGAGTTATTTTTTCGGGGTAACGACTTTCAACAGATTATCAAGATACGCAGATAGCTTAATTGCCAATTTGCAAGTCCCGGTAATACCGTAGTAAAATTTGAAGTCTCGGAGTAACAGTAGCAGGTATGCATTTGAATCCAATTCACAAACCACAAAAAGTAATCCAACTATGGAAGAAACCATACAAAATCTTGCCTTTATTTTATTTTTTTTCCCTATTTCTTCCGAGACTGCATTTGTATGTAACGCTTTCGATACGAGTGTTGAAGGATAATTCCTTGAAGATTTCAAATTTTATAGCAATGGTGATTTCTCAACAAAAAATGTTAAAAGATTTGAAATTTATTGAAAATTGTAAAGGCTGTCAAATCCCATACTACACCACCATCTAAATTCAGATCAATCAATCTCTCTCAGGCAAATCAACAAACAGTATCTGAGCAAGTAATCCGATCAATTTACTCGAATGAACAAGGAAAAAAAAATACTATTTATCAGTATTAAGATCGACGCCGGCTTCTTTAGGGGTTTTGGCAGTGATCGAGAGAGCGTGCAAACCTGATTGGAGTTCATCGGAGAGGAGTTCGTAGACCATACGGTGTCGTTTCACGAGGTTCTGCCCTTCGAATTTGCTGGAGACGATTCTCACGTTGAAATGCGTCTCGTTCGCGCCGCCGTCCATCTCCCTCACGGCGGCGTGTCCGGCGTGCTGGTAGGATACGTCCTCCACCTCCAGAACGGCGGCTTGCAGCGCCGCCTCGAGCTTCGTCTTGATTCGAGTAGCCCTAGAAAGCAGCGCTCGCGATGCCATTGAAACTCCACGCGCCCCTGTGCTGCGTGTGGGCGAAATATATTATGAGGTTGTACTGTTTCGTGAGAATTGATAATGCCAGAGCAATTTTGATATTGCCAGAGCAAAACATAGTTCCAATTGTAATTTTGTCAGTTTAAAATAAAAACCGCGCCTTTTTTTTTTCTTCATTTTTTATGATCCAAAAGCACCAAAACCCTATTATGATTGAAACAGAAACTTAAACCCCATTGTTGTATCAAGCGCAAACCTCCGTTTTGCTGATCTCTCTCCTTTTTGGTGCGCGTGCTTTTGTCGAGGCGCGCAGCGCACATAAGGTGTTTGATAGAATGCTTAAAGTTATAATTTACTCGATCTCCTCTGTTTTCCCAATGTAGAAAATAAAATTCGATCACTCTGCGAAGAAACTATTACGAGTGGTAAGGTATTGCACTCTGCAATAACTATTCTTTTGGATCAATTAGCGCTCGTAGAATCTCCAGAGCTCCGAGCATTTGCTCCTTATATTGCTCAGAAGGAGGAGCAAATATTGGTTCGATTCCTGATAGCTCTTTGTGATGATTTTGATGCACTGATGCGTTGGAATATTTTGAATCAGAACCCCATTCCTTGTGACAAAATTAGTTCTTCTTCTATTTCACTATTAACTTTGATTCATTACTTGATGATTGTGGTTCGTCGGAACAGAATTGTCACGGATACTGCCGTTCCAGTTCCGTTGCAACGGAACAGACACATTTTAATTAAATTATTGAAAAAATACAATATATTTTAATGTGTTTTTAATAACATTACAATACAAGAAGAATATGCAAAATATTATTACAATTTCGAAAATAGATATTACAACAATATTGGAAGAACATTATGAAGATACAAGCAATATTAATACCAAGTAGACTGCCGAACTGGAATTGGGTAAGTTATACCAAGTAGAGTGAGATCAAACATCCGTTGATTCAGGGGAATCTCCATTCTCCAACGTGGCGACCACCATCTTATTATTTCTTTTTTTTTCTTTTATGTTTTTTTTTAGTCAAATTAGTTAAACAGGCTTTTTTTTATTTATTATTTTCTCCTATTCCAGTGCCGTTCCGACCGCGTCGCGGCCGTTCCGCGACTCCGTCTCGCTCATCCCACCATTTTCTCGACGTTCTGGTGAGTCACAGTGAAAAAATCGTTTTGATTAGGAATACCGAAACGGGAGGGCACCGTTCCCGTTCTGTTCCGGCGAACCATGTGGATCAATTTGTCATTCTAACTTTATTTATGTTCGATAACATCTTTAGAGAATTGGAAGAAAAATGGTTTTTCAAAATTTCCGAAAACAAATGTTTGTAAATTTGTGTCTAAGAAAGGTCATGAAGTTTAGTTTTCATGCTTTTATTTTCTTTTTCTTATCGAAATTTAAGAAATGGTAAACGAAGTCATATAGCATATTTTCATTATTGCAACAACTCATTTAATTTTTTTTCTTATCAATTTTAAAAATTGTAAACAAAGTCTTAGTGGCATATTCTCTTTCATACAACATAAAAGGTTGTACCATGTCAAATATTATATTATTTTTCCTAATTTACCCTTTTTTATTTCATATAACAAACTAATGGGGCATGGATATTGGGAAAATTATTAAATGAATTATCAAAATTGACTTTTCATGTTGATGTACAAATGAGATTATAATTCTTTTTATATTAATTCATATCTTTAATGGAGACTCTCTAAAGCACTCCATGGTTCTTAACTCATATTCTAGAAATAGAGGGTAATTGAGTATTGTTTATGAACTTTCTAGAAACCTCTACTAATAATCATAGGGGCTTGCTATTATCAGTGCGACTTTTACCACTCGCAGTGCAAAATAATTCATTTTTTTTTCTTTTCCAAATCTTATCCAAATACCCTCTCAAACACTCTCAACCTTTTATTCTTAAAATTTATCAATTTTAGTATTTTTTCGACCAATATCAGTTAGAGCACAAGTATTATCGACATGGATGACAACGGCTTCGATTTTGAGGTGAAAATACACGTTTTTTGTTCGTTTCCAACGTTTTTAGCTATTTCGTGTCATAACACACGAAATATATGCTTTCATTTCGTGTAATACTATACGAAATATGTCTTAAAATCGTTAGTTGTTTGTTTCGTAGACAATCACACGAAATGGAAGCTTACATTTCGTGGTAAAACCTACGAAATGGAAGCTATTATTTCGTGTGTGTTTACACGAAATGTAGGTTACATTTCGTAGGTTTTTCTACGAAATCCCTTAAATATTGTCTTTTAATTTTAAATATTTATGCAGGAACTAAGAGAACAATCTCACGATCATAGTCACTTCTTTGAACGTGGTATTGTGTGTGATAGTAGAGAAGCGTTAATTATGTGGGCAAAAGACACAGCAATTAGTCATAATCATCGACTGATTAATCATCGTAAATCAGAAAAATATCATGTTTTAACGTGTGCAAGATATCAATCTGGACGACACGGACTATTGAAGAAACGTTCTTGTCCGTTCAGGTTAATTGGCAAAAAATCAACGGAGGATGGATTATGGCGATTGAGTGTGAGTAATGGTAATCATAACCATCTGCCGGGTATTTGAGTAATGGTAACTTATGTTTAAATTTATATTTGTTTTAATTTTGCATTCAAACTTATGTTTTGGAATATTTAAATTTGTAGCGTTGTGTTTTGCATTTTATATGTTTAATCTATGTTTTTGGAATGTATTAAATTTGTAAGATTGTTTGTAAGGTTGTTTAAATATGTACTTTAATTGCTTCAGTTGTACGTAGTTTCTAAATTCAAATAATAAAACTAGTGAATTAAAATACAAAACAACAAACTAGTAAATTAAATAGTTCGTAATAATAATAAACAAAATAAAAATTAGTAAAATAATTAGTTCCTAATTAAAAATAAAAATAAATTATTAAATTAAATAGTTCCTAACAATAATAAAAATGCATAGTCCTAATAATAATAAAAATAAACTTTAAAATTAAATAGTTCATAAAAATATATAACTGGCAAAAGAAACCGATAAACTACCGCCTCGCTCTCCTCGGCGGCTGCACCTCATGATCGTCGTCGTCGTCATCGTCGTCGTCGTTGTCGTTGTCACGGTCGATGCCAAGATATCGGGCGGCGGGCTGCATAATATCTCCAAGATCGGCACGTAGATCGGCAAACTGCTGCATCCAGTCCTGTCCAGTGCTCCTGGTGATCGGGTACAGGGCACGTACTACCTGGTAAAAAGCCGGCTGATCTGGTGGCCTCACATTCTCTCGATGCACTGGAGCCGGGCCTACGTCGGGGTTGTTGATCTTCGGATGAGTCCGATCGGTGTACCACTCCATGTAGTGCTCGTCGACTTCCCCCCGTTGTCGTGCCGTCTTGTATGCGCGGGCATGAATGGAATGAGCCTGGACCATGTCCCACATCCCACCCGGAAATGGGTAGTTGACTTTGTACGATGTACCTCCTTTGGGACCGCGTGAACATGGCTCCATCGACGGAATCAAGCCGCGTGGTATATCCTGAACCCATCCAAACTGTCGGACGCAACGATCAGGCATATACGGCTCTACGACCCACATGTACTGGATCGTGCCATGATACAACGTACGAGGGATACTCTCGTGTATATCCCGACCATACGGTAGCCACTCGACCTAAACAGAAAACAATATAAATACATAAATCAAAAAATTCATATTTAAACAAACTACAAGACATATTTAAATCAAAAAATTCATATTTAAAATTCATATCGAAAAATTCATATTTCAAAAAATATAAATACATAAATATAAAAGACTTACATCATCCGCTGTCATATTGTCGAGTAAAACTCGAATATGCTCGAGCGTGCCCGCTTTTGGTGGCGCGTTCCACCTCTTGCATCGAGGCTGAAACTCGCGGTAGCGCTCGCTCTCATCCGGCGGTTGTAATCTCGGGAAATACTCGTATATCCAGCACTGCAAATATTTTATTTAAAGATATTAAAATTTATTAAAATATATTAAAATGAACAAAATAAGTTCCAAATATATTAAAATTTACCTGAAGAAGGGTGGTGCAACCCGCCAAGCCCCTCGACTGTGCTCGGCTGCATATACCCAACTCTCTGTATAGATTGGCCAAACAGGCCGAACCCCACGAATACGTGCCGACCTGATCAAGCACTGAATCCTCGAGCACGTGCATATACCACGGTTTCACCCGATCACATGTCTTGTCGGGGAATAAAATCGATCCGAGTAGAAACACCAGGTATATCTGAACTCGGCGTCTCATGGGCGTGTCGGGCATCAACAACTGTCCCTGTAACATCCTCCATGTGGGGCCCCCATGCTTCCACGACTCGTCAATCTCCTCAAACTCGAGGTTTAAGGCCTCGGACAGCAAATACACGCAGTTTGTCCGCTCGATGGCATCGTCGTACCTAGGCGCGACCACCCGTCCCTCCACATTGGCACCTAGAATCATCTGGACATCGTGGAGAGTGATAGTCATCTCTCCCCACGGCATATGGAAGCTGTTCGTCTCCGGCTGCCACCGCTCCACGAATGCAAACAACAGCGGAATATCTAGGCCCTGTAAATAACATCGGGCTAGGGGATACAAACCGGTCATCCGCAGAAAATGCTTGTCTACGGATACATCTACGTCTTCTAGGGCATCTGCTATCTTCTCGTAGTTGAATTGGTTTAGGGAGTTGATACGGGACTCCACTCGTCCAACCGGACGTTCCTGCAATCATTTATTTAGAAAACATATTAATTAATCAACTATAAAAATATTTTAATAGAAGATACAAAAATTATAATATTAAAATTAAAACAAGTAATTAACTTACTTCTCCCCTCCAAATATATGCCGCTACGTGCGACTTGAAACTCGGTATCAAAGACGAATCCCGCGGGCCACCGGGAAATGGACCATCTAGCACATCCGGATTCACTCGAGTATAAGGTCGACCTCCACGGGCCCGTCCTCGGCCTCCACGACCTCTACGACCTCCACGAGCTACAACCTCAGTCTCGTGAACGGGGGCCACATCTTCCTCCTCCTCCATAGCACGAGAAGACCCAACATCGGGATGTGGAACTGATGATCTGGCTGCACCAGCTCTCTCAGCCTCTCGCCTACGTCGTGTAGACATAGTCATGCGCTCGCGCTCGCGCTCTTGATGTTCAGCCTCTTCACGAACTGCTCGCATAATTGCACTTGATTTCCCTTTGCCTGCCATCTGTTAAATAAAACACTATTAACATCAGTCTAAATAATAATAATAAATAAAATAAATCTTGAAAAAAAAAAATATGAACTGTGTTGTTTCACTGTCATTTCGTGGACAAACACACGAAATTAGTGCCTCTATTTCGTGTAAGAACACACGAAATACAAGCACTGGTTTTCGTGTGTTTGTCCTCGAAAATGGACAGTGAAACAGACAAAGTACTTACGTTTCGTGTACAATTACACGAAATAGAAGCTTACATTTCGTGAGATTTCTGACGAAATGTAAGCTTTCATTTCGTGTAATTGTACACGAAACGTAAGAAAAACTAACAAATACGTCTATTTCGTGTACAAACTCACGAAATTAACCCCTTCATTTCGTGCGTTTCTACACGAAATGTAAGTTTATTTCCGAAAACTTTCGAACATAATCAAAATACTCAAAACGTATAGATTTTCGACGAAATTTGTTAATATACTACTATAAAAACATTGGGTCAATGATTTCGAGTTCGAATTTTACCTTAATCGTTGTTGAATTGCTCGTTTAATCCGCAAGAACTCGAAGAACCTTGGATAGGGTTTGAGAGAATTTTGAATTTTCTTAAGAAAAGTTACAAATGAAATAAAGTCGCACTGCAAGCCGGTAAAAGTTGTTCTATGAATAGCATTTCAGTAATCATAACTGTAGATTGGAATGATGCTTGAAGTTGACTTTGACTCCGTCCCGTTATTGATTTACATTTTACTAACCAGTTAGGCGCTAAATTCTTTCAACGACTTTAAGCCGCATTGTATGAAACCGGTGTATACCTAACTGTAGAGAATCATTTCTCCATCACGTCCACACGTTTTCTCCCAACAAGAAATTTGTAGTCGTCTTTTTCTTCTCTTCTCACCTAAAAAAAAAAAGAAAAAAAAACAAATTGAATATTCTCTCTCACGCAGATACACACACTACTGAATTATGTCTTCGGCGGGAATCTTCGGCGGCGGCGGCGGCGCCACCACCCGCGATCCAAAGCAATACTTCTGCTATCAGTGCGAGCGCAACGTCACCATCGGACCTCCGCCGTCACCGACCGCCGAAATCTTTTGCCCCGATTGCCACGGCGGATTTCTAGAAGAATCTGACACCGCACCTTCCTCAAACCCTACTGACGCACTTCCTAACCCCTTCTTCGACGATAGCTTCCCTACCTCCGCCGCCTACGGTGCTCCCCCTGTGATCTTCTCTTCTTCCTCCGCCGCTCCCGGCGGCACATCGTTTTCGTTCTCCTCGGGAGGCGGAGCCGGTGGATTTGACGATCTTTCCGCGCTTTTCGGCGGCACGCAATCCCCCAATGAATTCAATCCCCTTGCCTTTCTCACGAATTACGTCAACAGTCTTCAGTCAAGGGGGGCGAACATTCAGCTAGTATTTCAATCATCGGGCGGCGGCGGCGGAATTGGCGGCGGTGGAGCCGAATTCAGGCTTCCCACTAACTTGGGGGATTATTTTGTCGGACCTGGTTTGGAGCAATTGATTCAGCAGCTAGCGGAGAACGATCCAAATCGATACGGGACACCACCTGCATCCAAATCTGTGGTGGAAGGATTACCAGATATAACGATCACACAAGAAATGCTGACTTCAGATTCATCACAGTGCGCAGTGTGTAAAGATAGCTTCGAGTTAAACGAGGCGGCAAAGCAGATACCTTGCAAGCATTTATACCATAAAGATTGTATAGTGCCGTGGCTCGAGCTGCACAATTCTTGCCCCGTTTGTAGATACGAGTTGCCCACTGACGATCCAGAGTATGAAAACCGAAGGACGAGAGAGAATGAGAACAGCAGTCAGAGCAGTAATATCAGTAATTCGAGTTTGGAGGCTTTAGACGGTGATAACAGTAGTAACAACGGTGAACAAACTCCAATGGCGGCGGCAGAAAGGCGGTTTAGGATATCTCTGCCATGGCCTTTTAGAGGTTTCGGTTCTACAGCTGAGGCGAGCAGCAGTGGGGAAGGGGCCGGAAATAATGGAGGGAATAACAACACCAACAACCGTAACAGTGGAAGAGGGCAGGCGAGAGAGGATGACCTCAACTGATGTACGCTGCTTAAAACTTTTTTCTGTGTTGAGCTGATTTACTGCTTTTATTTACTGTCTTACTGGTTCGGAGTATAGTGGGAAAATGAGGATTGAAGAGTCGTTCAGGTTTTTTCATATTAACGACATGGTTTCTTGAAAAGTCTATTATGAAAATAGTTGTAATTGATCATTGATGCATCTTTTTTGCCACTAATAAAACTATGTTTTGCCAATGATTGCTGTATGTATAAGTTCTCTTTGCTAATGTGTTCAATCCCACGTGCCCAAGTACCATCTGCACACCTTCTTTGTTAGACTTGTCTCGGTATATTTCGTATCAGATTGTCTTGAGAGAAATGATATTTATGCAGTTAATGTTATTAATTACTTTCAATCTGAATTTATCGAAGCCAATCATCATGAGGAATCTTGTTAGAGACCAGCTCATTTCTATTGGACGAGTTCATCCACAGTATTTGTGATCTTTAACCCCCATTAGTAATGATTAACAGTCTTCTTCGATAAAAGATAATGCCCCGTTTTCTCTTTCTTAACTGATGATCCATGATTATATATTCGTAAATATTTCATTTGATTGATGCTCTAAGCATTTCTATGATGCTTTAACAAACGGTAGCAGAAGGGCTTAGTAGCTTAATGGTACAAATAGATTGCAATGTTTTTGGTAGCAAGGAATCGTGACTAACTTCTGCCGGTAACTCTTAAAATTTGTCAAGTATTGTTTAACTCGGGACTAACTCGAGTCAAATGTTTATGCTGCTGCTTTGTATCTTTAGTGCAGTTGCCTCTGCTCACTTATGAGTTAGTTATGTGTTTGTTTCCGATTTGCATTTCTAATGTACTTTTTATCAATTGATAAAATTTCCGTTTTGTCCTGTAATTTTGTAGGGGCGCTGGGGATAAGTGTTTATAAAGATGCAACTAAGCTGAACAGAAAGGATACTTACGGATTCAGATGAACTAATCGATGTAGCAATTGTAGTGGTAGCTCATGAATAAAACTATGTAGAGTCTGCTATTTCAATCAAATGACAAAACATACTAAATTGCCCTGGCAGAGTTTCTGCTCCAAGATTGTGTGGATTTAGTATACATGTCTTATTTGTCGCAATTTGACGTTACCAAACTTGTTAAATCAAGAAAACAGTGTCCGTAAAACGTTACATGTAAATTATTTTATGGATTTTCATACATTGTATTCAGCTTATATGTTACGTGATGCAGAGTGCGAGTGCTTACGGTCCTTTGTCTTTTTTGCCTCTTTAAATCGGTAAGCCAAGTCGATTAGATTTTTCGTGCTTCATCATCGAGTTGAATTTGGGACCTAACTAATTGTATTCTTTGTTTTACAATGTTAGTTGTATACAGTTGCATCCAATCGCCACATAGTTATGTAAAACGTTTGTACAAGAACTTGTAACACGACTCAACGCCTGTAATTAGAGTTATAACGAGTCAATGACTGTGATGCCATATGTTCGTATATTTCACTTCTTCGGTATTGATGTAATTGATCACACAATCGAAAAAATGACAAATGATATAAGGAAATTGCACTTAGACATCCAGTGACCATTGCAAGTACTCATTGAGTAAGTAGCTTTCGATTTCGGTAATTAAGTAAAAGTGAGCTGTAAATTCTGAATACGAAAAAAGAAAACACCGGAAAATTTGGAAGATTAAATGTTACAAAATGGAAGTCTGAAGTTGTCTACTTAAACCTATCCATAAATAAACTCGGTGATACTGTAGCATTTGTAGTCCCGCACCAGAGAAGAAAAGACGGAGAGAGAGAGATTCAATCACCATCTATTATTTGGGGGTTTAACCTTGTATATTCTAACTATCCAGTTTGACGTAGTAAACGCCTCTTCTAAGTGTTCTAGCTTTATATCTTTGTTTCCAATTTCAACCCCACGCGCTCTGTCGTATCTGCCACAACCAAAAAAACATTGGAGTTAGTAATTTCTCTCTCTCTCTCTCTCTCTCTCTCTCTCTCTCTGTGCCAATTACAGAAACTGAAACACGAAATAACCAAATTTCACAATAACATCCCAAATTAGCACACAGTATGACATGAGTGGTGGGAGTGGGCGTGGCCGAGTGGGGGTGAGATTAACAGTTAAACTTACCCAGGAGGTTTTCCGTATTCCGTAGTCAGCTCACCAAATCGATAATAAGATAGCTTGTACCTAATTAAGAAGTGGAGTGAAAATAAATATTACTTCTAAGCAATCATAACAACAAGATAAAGAATCTGGCAGAGAGATAAAAGAGAGCAAGTTTAGCAGGAAAAAAGACTGTAAGGGAAGACAATACATAGACTTGTCGGTTCTCAAACTAAATTTGCAGGTAAGGAAACCAATATTTTAGTATAACAACTCAAAAATAGAAAATAGAAAACCATTTTGAAGGAAACATATCTTGTTTGTCGGAATACGCTAACTAGAAATACCTCTCTGCAATGCAGTCGAACAACCTTTTAGCTTAAGATTAGGTTTTGCCTTCTACTGCTATATCATATCTATGTTTGTCATACAAATTATTATCAACTTCGTCGATGCCCCCATATTTTTCAGAGAGTGGACAAAGTTCCTACTATAGTTATATTTATACTTCCCTCTAATCGATAGCAACATGGCATGAAGTATAAGCTCGTGTGGTAGGAAAACATGGCAACTTCAGCATTTAATTGTTCATGAAAAATCAACTTACATAAGACAGTTCAACATCTTTGGAGCTGCGCCTTTGTCAACACGATACTCTCCATTAACAAGGTAATCAGGTTCCTTAATTACAGGAAAAACTCCACCTCCGATTCTTACCATCCACAAAAATCTGACATGAAATGGTTATATCAGTTTGAGGACATAAACTATCAAAGGATAGAAATCCGCATTAGGAAATCATAGACACAACATGAAATACTTAAAGTGCAAGTACTGCTTTAGAGATGTGTATTAACTATTAAAAGACCAATTAGAGTCAAATATCCCAAGCTGTGTAGCTTTTGGTCTGCACTTAAGAACTATGCCTTAGTGGTCAAGTAAGAACTACGATGAAGTGACCCTATCAGCATGTCACCACTATTTTTCATTTTACATAACTGATTATTTCAAGTACATGAAATCGAATCAACAGAATGCAAAATCAACTTATCTCCTATCATACAAAAAATCTGAGCAATCATAAAACCTTACGCATCTTACAGTTGCTATTTCAGTTAAGCAGAAGAAAAGAGAGGGCACATAAAAGAAACAATCATTGCTTCTATATATGAGTTCTTACTTGTTAATATCGTCAGAAGAATAACCTGTAACACCTCCAAAAACCACTAACACGTAATCAACATCCAGTGATCTCATAATCTCATATGCTTCATCCTCATAAGATGACATAGCACGTCCAACGGTAGCAATGTGTGTGTTATTCCAAGTGTTGTTGTCGACTATCACGGTTCTGTTCCCCATGGCGGTGATCTGATAACCATAATCCCACCAAGACATCACCTTGGCATCTGGAGGAGTGTTCTGTCGCAGCCAAAAATAGGCTTCACGGTAGTCGTCAAAAATTACCCTGTTGCCATTGGCACCCCTAGCAGCTAAGACAATTGAAGGAGACGAGTAGGCCTCTGATGTTACCCACGTACAATGGATAGCGTATCTGCTAAGCAAGTAAAATACTCCAAGAAGCAACGCAACAGCACCATTCTTTTGGAAAGGCATAGACTGATCAAGGGAACCCTGTGTATTAAACAAAGACAGGAGAAATAATTTGGTCAGTTCTATATAGTACGAGAAATTCGATAAGCCAAAAGCAAAAGAAAAGAGATACAGGGCCAAATCTAACAAGCTAGCTTCATCTTGCAGCTTAGGAAACACAGAGTAGAAGATAACAGAAAACTCAACTCCCAGGCAAACAATCATGTTCTGCTATATGATAAAATACAACTAATGTTTAGTCAGTTACTTCTCAAGTTTTTTAGGTTCGGAAAAGAGACCAGTTTAAGGCCCATTTATCTGCTCATTTCTTTCAAACATACAGGGGGGTGTCTAAAATCTGTATCTATTCTATTTTCAGTATGGCAAGAACTAAATTTGAGCCGAATATAAATGCTCACATACTTGATATACTTCAAAAGTAACGTCCACATCCAGCTCTAATTAACTTAAAGTAGTTAATTGTTCCTAATCTATTATGTTCTTCATTTCAACATTGAAGGTCATACACCTGTATTCGACGTTGCCATCTATTATTAATGGTAAATGTCGAAGTAGACAACATAGAATAATAAAAAATATCAGAATTTTTCTAAAAGCTAGCAGGGTAAATTTCCAGTTGAAGCTATTAATTAAAAAAACATATAGCAGCAGCAAACTTCAAAATCAGTCAAATACTTGCAAAACTCCACAATGAACAGTTAAAATAATCAGAATACATTTTACCCCGCACAATGATATATATAGGAAAAGGAGCACCAAAATGTCTTATATATATAATGTAGACCAGGAAAGTGAGCACTAGGTACCCACCTTAGACAAAACTTTGGCGCTAGCTGCTCCTTTACCAGAACCTCCAGAAGCAGGCTTGCTCTTCGCCCTCACCAGCTGCGTCAAATTCTTTACGGTGGCTGAGACGGCAATAGCACTAATAAGGCATACTGCAGGAGTAGCAACAAGTATCAACCGCACCATGACTCCAGCAAAGTACATACTAGTGAGCCCATACATCACTATAAATATTGTAGCATCTGACAAACGTTTGAAGCAGAAATATAGACCCGCTGGGAAAAGAATTAACAATATATGAAAATCAAACATGAAGGATGACCATGCGGTTGGCTGATGCTCGGAGACGGATGCAATTATTGGAATGTGATCCTTAGCATAAGTTGGATCCAGGAGAGAATAAAATCGACCAGTCCATGGAGAAATATAGCCAGACGCTGTGCCAACTCCCAGAGCTATTGCACCCAAACCTACTGCACTGGTCACTGTGATTCTCAAGAAAGAGTGGAACTTCTTAGGATCATTAAGCAGGTATTTGACCCAATCTAAAAAGTAAAACACCTGCACAGGAAGTTGACGTCAGTGGCACATTATTGACTGCATGAAACTTGAAACTGTTTCTTCACAAGCACAGACGAGATGGAAAGAAATACATAGAAAGCCACGTAAAAGATATATTTGAACTTACAACTGGTTCTCTTGCTTAGATATGATTTCACACATATGCAATAGGAGGCCACTGCCCAAAGAGGTCTAATGGTAAACCATCAAGTTAAAAGCTTTACTAGGGCATATTTCAAAGACTTACCAGTTATTCTCATTCATATTGATATAAGCATTTAGAGTCCACTGCCAAAAGAGTGGAAACAAGCAAACAAAGAAGTGCAATGGGATTTGTTTCAACGAGTAAAATTGTTCTCATTCATCTCTTGTTCAAGACATCATATGGAGAAAATTCCATCTGATCAATCTTAATCCCATGCACTTAGCAAATATATCAGATTGTGCTTCAGAGGAAAAGAGCTACTCTATAGAGCAGGGAAAGAAATCACTTATAATTTATTCGGTTGAAAGAATGCTAACGGTTTTGATGCTTACTGAAGGAAAGAGACTTAATCTAAATTGATAACAGATAAAGTTGTCTTAGTACAGGTACTGCTTCATTATACAAACTAAGAATTTAGAATGTAAAGATTCCATGCTCTTGTGCTAAACTAAAGAGACCCAGAAGCAGAAAATCCTACCTGCATCAAGAAAAACATTCCCATTGCTGCCATGTGTTCCCCAGACTGAACATGCTGAAATCCCACAAATCGGATCTGCATTGCTAGTAACGTTCCCAGCACATACATGCAGTTGTACGCTACATATAACCTCATTGAGTATCTTCCAGTAATCAAAAGAACCAGCACGTACAGTGGAATCAGATTAATAATGAACACGTAACCACCCCAAGCTGAAACCATATAAAAATATCCCAAAGCTGAGGCCAGGCCCCAAGCAAGTGAGCCTGTATTCACGGCCTTAACAAATAAATAGAACGTAAGCAGCAATGCAAATATAGCAACACCCTCGTTATCATATGAGCCGGCCACCGACCTAGAGATATAACCAGGACAAATAGCAATCAATGCAGCTGCTACAAGTCCAGCTCCAGAGTCCCATAGCTCTTTCCCAAAGAAGTAAGCAACAAGGGTGGTGTTGGCAGCAAAAAACGGTGCAGTGAGCACACAAACTTCACGAATGTGAACAGCAAACCTGGAAGCGATGGAAACAATCATTGAGATCTCAACATATGCAAGTCTGGAACAATGTCTAACTTTATAGGAGACCTCCAGGATATAGTACATAAATCTATCTAGATATTGAACTACTTAATTGCAGGTGAAAAATAAACTGAAGAATCAGAGTTATGATGAATAAAGTTAAAAATCGAGAAAACAATTAAAAAGTCTCAACATCATATTTTTGTTAATTACTTCTAATGGGAAGGTAAAAATACCAGCACAGAAATTAAGGCAAATATTTTAGATCAAAGGCCCCTTATGCCAGAAAAGATTCTTTTAGAATAATATGACATTTTGTTTGCTTTCCAGTTTCTACAAGATTTGTGCCCATAAATGTTAACATGCAATTATGCTAAATATTCTTACTTTTCCCAAAACCTCTTCTACATGAAACTCAAAGCAAAGAAAATGAAAAGAACAACCTTTTAACCCATTTCTACTGGATATTCTTATTCCTCTTTTTTTTCAATTTTGGTAAATATACTAGACTCGTCATCATGAAATTTACAGGAAATTAGATATGTAGCAGGTTCGCATCATATCCCTCTGTTCGACAATAATATTTGCATCTACGAGTAACCTAAAACCTTTACCGGTAAAACAATAATGTGAATCTTACAATTACTAACTTAACAAGTATTTATACTATAAAAAATTTGATTTTCACTCGAAAGAAGAAAAGAATCCCCGTATAACTGCAGTATTCTTATTTTTTGAAACAAATTACAACATTGACACCCTACAAATTCAGTGGGCAAGCAAATATGAAAGCAAGAAATGTACCGGAGAAAACGAAGGGTCCAGTAAATGAAGGCAGCGGTGACCATGAGACCAGGATAGAGAGTCCCACCGACGATCCTACCGAGTGGATACCAGCTCTCGGAATCGAACCAGTTCCAAAATTCGTAGAAGCCCTTCTGAGTCAAATACTGAGTAACTCGGTAATTGAAGTATGGATCAAACTCGTGGATCATGCTCTCGTAACGCAACACACTGAACAAACGGGCAATGAATGCCAAAACGTAAACCAGGAAGAGGATGGAGACACGGATCAAGAGCTCCTGCTGCTTCGTCTTCAATTTTAGGGATTTCAGCATCGAGCTCAGGCCGGGCGAGGCCAGCAGATCCGCCGGAGATTTCTCCATTTTCGACGATACCATCGGCTGATGGATCGGATCAGGCTAGGGTTTTGAATTTTGGGCGTTCGGATGAAGGCGATGAAGAGAAATTTTCAAGCAATTAATTGAAGAGCTCCATATTTTTTTTTTAATCTCAGTCGCTAAACCCTACTGCTCTGCTCCGCTCCGATTATATGTGTCTGATCTGCATTTCAAGTGTTGGTCGTTGAGAGTTGAGACTGCTCCTTTGACCAAAATACCCTCCGATAAAATACTTTTTTATTTATTTATTTATTTTTTGTCAAGACTTTTATCGTATTCAATCAAATAAATTTGAAGTCTTTTTTTAATTGTAATTATTAATTCTTCTTGATTAAATATTAAGAAATGACAACATGTCCGATCGACAAGATTCAAACAAACTCAAGGCCGTTATAAAAATCGAAACTCACAATTGATTGCTATCGTCGTACACCTCCGCGATCAGTTTTGCATTTACTAAATAGGTAAAAAAATGGTTTTACCAATTACAACAAACCGAGCATCTTAATAATTAAACAATCATAGTTTGTACCAATTCAATCGAATCCAAATTAATCGGTAAACGGAATGAAATGAACCTATTGTATTGAGTGAAAATTCAATTAATACTAAGGACCTCATATTAATTTATATTGGAGCAAAAAAATAATGTATATTTGTTAGGTCGAGCTTGTCACACATGGTTAGCCTAGTGTAATTTACATCTCTCGTATATATGGTTGGCTGCGGGTTTTCTCATTACCAAAAAATAAAAATATAAGGAAGAGAATAATGTATTCCATAAAATGTCATTACTTCTACTACACTTCATTGCCATGCAACTAATCCATAATAAAAAGCGAAATGGCATAACATATATATAGTTTTTAACAACCTACGACGAAGTGGCGAGATAACGAACATCTAGTACAAAAGTACACATTTTCAGATAAGGTGGGAAGCCATAAAAAGAGAGAGATATCTTCTTCATCGAATGAACTTTACAATCCTCGGTATGGTTTCAGTTTGCTCCCCCGTTTTCTTTGTTTTCTTCTGAATTCCGTTTCGCTTCCTCTTGTTCTGCAAAATACACAATCTATAATGAGCAAAGACATGTAAACCAAAACGTTAACCGTACATTATTTTTGCTGGTGCAAAACGATGAGCATCTCGACAACTACATAATACTTTAAAGTGTTGCTGAGTCAGCAAAAGTTTGTTCCCTATCGGCATCGGAGTCCAAGATTCGAATACAACCTTAACACACCCATTGACAAAATATTTTTGGCTAGTAATAAATTCATCTCCAATAAACAAACGAAATTTTTTTCCAAGTAAAACTACGACTGGTGTGTTGGGCATATTTATTTCAATTTATAAAACATGAAATTTTTGCCAGAAACACCCCGGGTATTTTGAACACCGACTTCTTGCTACAAGACCAAGACGAGTGAGCTAAAAAAATATGAAGTGAGTTAATCAACTCCCAGGACAAACGGGTTAAAGTATTCTTTATATTCACCTACACTAGTAGGTAACTTATCTGAACTCACTTTCTAATATATCATTCCCCGTAACAAATCAAGACACTAGTTGCAACGTAAAAGACCTAACAAAACAGCAGAAATTCAAAAGCTACTGGATGTGATAAGCAACATTACAATATTAACGAGCACAAGAAAAATCAATTTATCGGTAATCCTCGTTATATGGGGTTGGGGTTGTTGTTGGGGGGGGGGGGGGGGGAGCGGTTGTGGTTGTTAAAGGCATACCCATGAGTGTTAACATTGCCTTCTGAGTGCGTCTGTCGAGCTTGTCAAGTCTCTTTTGAACATCCCTCCTCAGATCCCAATTTGGTTTCTTCGGTGCTATGTTTAGAAACGGATCCTAAAATTTTGTTTTCAATATCAGTATAAATATCACTTGAGTAAAATATTAAAGATGTAGAGAAAGAAACAACGAAGGAACAACAGAACAAAACTACACAAACCACCTCTTTATTCTCGTCTACAGGAGGAGGAATCGCAAAGGCAGGGTCTTCAAATTTAGGTAAAACGGGCGGCGCAAGTTTGCCCTCTTGAAGTTCCTTGTCGTGAGGAAGGTAATTTCGAAATTTCATATTAACATTACTGCAAAACATAAATACTTCCGTAAGTTCGAGGTTAAATCGCATTGATTACAGTCAAGAACACATAATACTCAATCATGGCAGCAGTTTTCCTAAAATCAAGATATTCAGCAATAAAACGCACAATACATCGAGAAAAATTTACTAATTTTTGCATATTCATAAATATCTGAGAAAATAAAGAAACGAGATTGTAATCAGTGCGCTTACTTTTCTTCGCTATCTTCATTATCATCTTCATCTTCTTTCTCTTGCTCCAGTTGTTCTTGGGGTTGCTCATTCGGAGTTGATGCATTGTCATCGGGAGTGTTGAGGAGTTCATGAGCGGTTTTAAGAGCTCTCAGCCTCTCCTTACGCGCCGCCGCCGCCGCCTCTATTGAATCCTCTTCTCCGACGCCCATTAAATTCTGTTTCGATTCTATCTGAGATGTGGACAACAATTTGATCAATTAAATAAACTTGATTCGACAATTGAAAACGAGCATAGGAAATTTACATGTCCCGGAGATGGTGATGTTGGAGTAAAACCCTAGAGTCTGAGAATTGGGGAAAGAGGACAAGACGACAACGTACTGAAGTTGAAGACTAGGGCCTATATATATACGTATACGTATATACATATATATAAAGGTTTAATTAGTTGTAATTAGAATTATCTTTTAATTAATTTATGAAATAAATTTTATAAGCGCAAGTTTCACTTTCACCCTTTACTTTTGTTTTATTTTTATTCGGTATCACTTTACCGTCTACTACTTTCGATTGCATCGATTTGTCCACTGCACTTGAAAATTTGTCTCAGTAGTTTTCCGACATTTGATCTTAACACCGTTTGGTCTAAACTCTGAAATTACAAAAACATCATCCCTCCCGGTCTAAACTTTGAAATTAAAAAAACGTCATCCCTCCCAATTTAAATAATTATAAATCAAACATTTGATATTGACATTGTTTGGTCTAAACTCAAATTACAAAAACGTCACCCCTCCCGGTTTAAATAATTATTAAAATAACGAAAAAAAATCAAGACTGTCAGAAAGCTTATTTAAACTGGGAGTGACTTTTTTGTAATTTTCCGACCTTAAACCAAACAATATTAATGTCAAATGTCTGAAATTAACGTCGAGGGACACATTGAGGGGAAATCGATGCAATCGAGACTAGAATGGTGTAAAGTCCCCAATTTATAATTTAGAAAAATTTACAATTTGACACATTAACTAATTATTATTAATTAACCGGAACCTTTCCCCTCTTAAAACCCTTAAACCCACACACACTGCATAAAAACAATTGTTGAAGAAGAAAAAGCAAACCGATGACGATGTTTACAAAACCGGTGGCCGGAAAATCTAATCTTCTATTCCGATGGGCTTCTTCCTTCCCTCGCACCTCGAGCAGCGCATCAATTTGCCTTATCAAGCAGAGCAGCAGAATTCCAGCGTCCAACCTAATTTGCCGGAGCTTCTATCATAACAATAGAATTTCTCTTCCTTCTGCAAATGGTTTTAAATTACTGGGTCGCCCGGAATTTGCGTTTGGTAATTTGGGTCGCCGATCTTTGCGGGTTTCATCCGGCGGCGGCGGCGGTTCCGGTGGCAAAGCTGGTGGTGGTGGGTCTGGAGGTTCCGGCAATGGAAGCTCAGGTGGTGGTGGGGATGGTGGAATTAACTGGTCATTGCTTTCTTGGTAAATATTTCTTCCAAATGGCAGTTTTCGATTTTCATGTTTCTGTCATAAACTTGGCTCTGAACTCTGGTAGTATTTAATTCTTGTCATGGTTTCGTTGAAATTTGCAACCCGTTATGCACTTTGGATAATGCAAAATGTTCGGCAAAAAAGAATAAAAATAGTAGAGACCATATTCGTTGTAAGGATGTTTAACCATAGATTATCGAGTCTTGGCATAGTTGAACACTTGTATTACAATTTGCAACCCGTTAAATAATGCCAAATGCTCCGCAAAAAAAGAGAAGAAAAAAAAAACACTAGAGACCATATTCATCGTACGGATGGTTAACCATTGATTGTGATTGATGAAAGTTTATTACATCTGGTCCTTCTTTCGTCAGGAAGTAAGTTGCTTGTCAATAAGTTGGTTAACTTCCTGCTAATCGAGAATCGATTATTTTGAATTCATTTCGATGCAGGTATATGTCTCTTCTTGCAAAGTACCCCGTGATGACAAAAGCTGTTACTTCAGCCTTTTTGACTTTGGTTGGTGATCTCACCTGCCAGGTTAACAATTCTTATCTTTAGCTTTGTTGTTTTTAGATTTTGAAAAAAAATATGATCTTTTGTTTAAGTGCAGATGTATGCAGTCTCGTTTAAAGGTAAGACATTTGCTACGCATAGACTCGATTTAAAAAAAAAGGAATTTTCATGAGTTTTACGGAATTCTGATGAGATTTTGATGATAGGGATTGATGAAGTAGGAGTTTTTCTCGGTATTAAAGTTTTTTGTAGAATCTAACTCATGGATAAATAGTACGAACCAACTTATATATGCATGATAATATTTCCTTTAGGCCTCGTTTGGTTGGGGAGATTAGACATGATTAACTAAATAATAGGACTTTGTTTGATGTTTGGTATCCCCAATAACTTGCCGGGTCAACCCGTAAATATTGTGCTATCATGGCTTATCTTGCCTTCTAGGCATGTTTTTTTATTGGATCGTCGAAGGTCCAATAATATAATTGAGTTTCATTAGATTATTTAATCTTACCTTGGCTAATCTTATCTTGGCAACCAAACGAGGCCTTAGGGTTTCGGGTTTCGGTTTCGGTTATTGATTAAGTTGGATGAATTTCGTGTTTATTGATTATATAACATTTTTGTATGATTGTACCTCAGCTCTTGATCGATCAAGTACCTTCTCTAGACTTGAAGAGGACATTTGTTTTCACACTATTAGGGCTCGTTTTGGTCGGTCCAACATTGCATTTCTGGTAATTATTTCAGAATTTTCGTCTCCATTCCAAATATCGTTTTTACTATACACTATAGCTTAAAATGCAGATAATCTACCAACGTTATTTTTATGATGCTCGTGCATTTAATTATCAACAATTGTATTATTTCGTGAGAAGCAAAACTCATCCCAAATTGATTAACCGTAAAATTCATGTTAACAATGTAATATCTTTCAGACTCGGTTTGATTTCGTTTATTACATGTACTTAGGTATTTGTCTCTGAGTAAATTGGTCACAGCTCCCGGAGCTTCTGGTGCTTTCTTACGGCTGCTCCTTGATCAAGTAATGTCTTTATTCACCTAAATGATTACATTATATTAATTAATACTGTAAGAATTCGTTTTACTTCTGTTGACTGTTGACTTTTCCGTACACAGTTCCTTTTTGCTCCCGTTTTTATCGGAGTTTTTCTGTCGACATTGATGACATTAGAGGGAAGGCCATCAGAAGTTATACCAAAGTTACAACAGGTAATGCTAAATAAAACATCCGTTTATTTTGGTTAATTTGAATAAAAAAAAAAAGATCGATTTTCTATATTCAAGACTTTAAAAAAAATCGTTCTTCTTTTGCAGGAGTGGTTCTCCTCAGTTCTTGCAAATTGGCAACTGTGGATACCTTTCCAATTCATAAACTTCCGTTTTGTGCCACAACAATTTCAGGTCGGGAAATAATAAATAATTTTTCTTTTTCTTTTATTTTCCTTGTTTTTATACTGTTGTGCGGCTAAAGAAATGGCACGTGCGTTGACTGTGTCTCGTTTCTACAGGTCCTTGCAGCAAACTTTATTGCCGTGATATGGAACGTAATTCTTTCGTATAAAGCTCACAAAGAAGTTATTGCCAAATAGGTAATTTTATTCCCTCGAGTCTCAATGTAATAATATGGGTAAATTACGGCCACCCCTGAGGTAACGTTAAATTACAAAAATACCCCTCTTGTTTGGGTAATTACAAATCTTCTTACAAACGTCCGTCCTTATGGTACGTCCGCCCTTATGGTGTCAAATTCAACATAATCTTTTATAGGAGAATGTTCTCTAGTTTGTACTCGTTTCGTGCAAAAATACAGTTTTTGATGCTCATATCTTTTCATAATGCGTGATTTCGAAGGAAATAAAAGGATTTCTGATATAAGAGTTGGTCGAGTATATTTTCTACAGCTAATGCTATGTGTCGTCTTGCAGGCATTGTATTGCTGCACGAGTCGATGATGACCAGAAAGGCTTTGTATTATAGAGAGAATCGAAGACGGAAAAAAAAAAAACGAGAATGATGGTTTTGATTATGAACTTTAGTTTCATTGCAACTTGTATTGGTTTGAATTTAGTTTCTTTATAGTTTGTTTCCATATGAATGCGTTGACTTTGAACCTTGGGACTGCTTTCTTACTGGTATGTGATAAATGTCGTTTTAGTGTTAATAATACTGTTTCGACTTCAAATGTTATTTTGGCTACTTTTAAGACTTAAATTGACAAAACTTAAAACACGAATTTTGTAGTTCTTTGAGTTAGCTTTCTAATACAAGTTGAATCATCAAGATTGGATATCGACTAAGAAAGATATGCATGAATCAATGAACATTGTCCGCAATTTTTGATGTTTTAAGTTATCTAAAATTCAAAATGTAATTCATTCGTGCACAATTTTGCCACCCGACATCCAGTTTAGCTGATTCAAGTTGCATTGGGAAGCTAATTCAAAGCATTAAAGTTTTCATGTTCTGAGTATTTACGAAATCAGACTAAAAAATGTTCAAAATCACGTTTGAAATTAAAACGGTATTTATTTTATGAAACCCATTAATAGAATAAGGCCCCATCTTTATATCAGCCCATAACCTGATTTCCCACTCTCCCGAAACGGCGTCGTTTCCCTATCACTTTCTTCCCTAATTCGATTCCCTCCGGAAATCGCACCTTATGCTGCCCTAAATCCTCATTTGTTCTTCTTCTTCGATTCGCTTCCCAAAGGTCTAATACTTATTACAAAACTCAAATTTGTAGTTTCAACCCTTCAATGCGGATTCATTATTCTACTATTTTATTGCATCCTTAATAAATCTGTCATGTTTTCTTCTCCTCATAATAACCCCTGATTTTATTTATTTATTTTTTTTGCAGACAGATTGCGATGCAGTAAAGGAAACTAAGCTGTGTTGCTGGTTATAAGATGTTGAAGACGTCATTCTTCCCTTGCAAAGTAAGCATTTTCTATACACATGATTCACATGGTAGTGTTTTTTTTTTCGCTCTCACTAGAAAAAAAAAAAAAAGAATCTTTGCACATGTTTATATATCTGTATGTCAATTGTCAACGCTTATATTCTGTTTTTTCTTGTACAAATAGGCAAATGCTCTTGGTGCACCCTCAGGTTTCCCCATCAAGGTGCCCTTCAGAACCCCTGGCTTGTCGATTGTTTAAAAGTCGGTTCCTTCGTATTACTTCGATCGCTATAATACTAGCTGCATTGCTCACATGAATTTTTTTTCGTATTCCCATTAACGTTAGCTTCCTTGTATCGCATACATTGTTGATTATTAGTCATTAGTGTTATCTATCGTGACTATTTTTTTCTCTCGAACAGTTATCGTCTACTGTACTTGTGAAAGCCAAAAGACCCATTCATTTAAAAGCATCTGGGGCTAAAATGGAGCTCTCGATCACACGGCCCGATGATTGGCATCTCCATCTTCGTGATGGTGAACTTCTGGAAGCAGTTGTACCTCACAGGTTGATTGAATTACTACTTACTAGTGCACTCGATTTACAACTGGCTGGGATGTTTTTTTTTTTTTTTTGAGATGATTGAATTTCTGTTTATTGATTTTCCCGACTTTATAAAAAGAATTTGTTGTGCAAACAGTTCGCATCACTTTGGAAGAGCCATAATCATGCCGAACTTGAAACCTCCAGTCACCACCACAGCAGCTGCTGTGTCCTACCGACAGTCGATTTTGAAAGCTTTGCCGGAAAATAGTGACTTCACCCCTTTGATGACTCTTTATCTGACCGACACTACGAGCCCTAATGAGATAAAATTAGCAAGTGAGTACGACTCCTGATATACATGTTTTTTTTTAATTTACGTACTCATGTTTTGATATGCGTCTATCAACTCCTTATTGCTCCGTATTTATCTTTATGACCCGAGAAAAAGAAAACAAAAAATTAACGTTTGCTGAACATTTACGCCTAAAACAGATGTAAATCTGGTATGTCAACATTCCGAAAGGCTTAAAATGGAGATATAAAATAAATAAAAAATTTAGCCGTAGTTAATATATAAGTTTTGTTTCCTCGATTCATGTTTGATATTAGTTGTTGCCCGTCACAGGGGAGAGTGGAGTTGTATTCGCCGTTAAGTTATACCCTGCTGGTGCTACCACAAATTCTCAAGAAGGTGTAACAGATCTATTCGGCAAGTGTTTGCCTGTACTTGAGGAAATGGTTCAACAAAACATGCCTTTGTTGGTAATTAGTCTTTCGTTTTCGTAAAAATTGTGCTTAAGCGTGACATCTTTTTCAATTAGTTAAATATGCAATAATCGTATGATTTTAATCCATCAATAATTGTATGCAGGTACATGGAGAGGTGACAGATCCCGATGTTGATGTGTTTGATCGTGAAAAGGTGTTCATTGACACAGTTCTTAGCCCCTTAATTCAAAAGCTTCCACAACTCAAAGTTGTCATGGAGCACATTACCACTAAAGATGCTGTAAATTTCGTCCAGTCTTGTCGTGAAGGTACAAAAAATCACGTTTATGTAAATATAGGGTAAATTACGGCCACACCCTAAGGTAAGGTCAAATGACGGATAACCCCCTCATGTTTTGGGTAATTACAACCAGCCCCTCAACTATGAATTTTCTTACATGTTCACCCTTATGGTGTCAAATTCAGCAGAATCTTCTAGATTTTGTGGTGTTCTCTAGTTTGTGCTCGTTTTGTGTAAAAATGTAGTTTCTGATGCACCACAATCTGATATTTACAAGCCGATACATCTTATAATCGTCTTGTTTCAAAATTTAGAGCTCGAATGAGGTAAAACGGGTGCAAACTGGATAATATTACACATAATCTAGAAGATTCCACTAAATTTGACACTGTAATGGTGGACGTGTAAGAAGATTCATAGTTGGTGTGATTGTAATTACTCAAACATTAGGGATTTTTTCGTAATTTCACCTTATCTCAGAGGATGGCCGTAACTAATTTACCTGCTACTACTTAATTTGGATTAATAAATACAACGTGGCATCTTTATTTCATCGTGATCATCTAATCATAATCAAATTTACATTTTTTTATTTTTATTGTTTAGGATTTGTTGCAGCAACCGTCACGCCGCAACATCTTGCTCTTAACAGAAACTCCCTTTTCAAAGGAGGACTCCAACCTCACAGTTACTGCCTTCCAGTACTCAAGAGAGAGATACATAGTACGTATGATGCCTTTTGTAATTTTACTAAAAAAACGCATTTGCTGATCTCATCGTCATTGTACTGTTACCACATCTGTCTTATGTTTTGATTGATCTTTTCTGATTTTTAGGGCAGGCAATTGTGTCGGCTGTGACAAGTGGAAGTAAAAGATTCTTTCTCGGAACCGATAGTGCTCCTCACGAAAGAACAAAAAAGGAATGTTCTTGTGGATGTGCTGGAGTATACAATTCGCCCGTGGCATTGTCGGTTTACGCCAAAATTTTTGAAGAGGTAGTTTCACTGACCTTATTTATATTATATATATTTTATATATGAGGATTGTATTATATTGAAGTGCATTTTGGGAATTACTATAATAGGCTGGTGCACTGGACAAATTAGAAGCGTTTACGAGCTTTAACGGACCGGATTTCTACGGTCTTCCTCGAAACACGTCGAAGATTAAGCTGAGCAAGACACAATGGAAGGTGCCGAGTTCGTTTTCGTTTAAATTTGGCGAAATTGTTCCTATGTCTGCAGGTGAAACACTTGATTGGCTACCATTACCATTATCTCCTTAAAAAAAAACAAAGGAACAAATGATTCATATCACAAATGTTTTCTTGTTCTGGAATTGCAGTTATTTTTTATTAGTTTTATTTTTTGTACCCATTGGTCTTGCAACATATGTAAGTGGATAATAGACTATTTTATTTATGTTTTTTGAGAAAATATAATTGGTCTATGTTATTAATCCCCAATCTAATTGGATATTATCAGAACAATATCATATAATTTGAAATTTGTTTTGAAAAAGTGTGCGCGCGCGCAATTGATCTTCACAGAAATTGAACAATGGACTCAAGAATTAACCCTGGTTCGGTTCAGTTAGGACATACATACACCAACCAACCGAGAACAACTTTTATTGATCGAATAACGAAAGGAGATTACGGAGATTTTGATTACAATATGATTGATGAAACTAGAAAACCCAAGTTTTTCAATTACAATATGATTGATGAAACTAGAAAACCCTAATTTTCCTAAGAATTCGGTATTGAAGGTGATCTCTCAATTCCCACATAGTGTTTTCTCTCAAACTCTCCAATTGTATATCTCTCAATTTCTACTTATGTTTTCTCTCTCTAAACGAGTCAAAAATATCCATCTTGTTGAAATGATCTTCAAACGAAAATGAGTTTACGAGGAGGTAAAAATTACACGTTTTTGTTCGGCTCAAACCGCAAATGGACTTCACACCCAAATTGGGAGTGGAAAATCCGAATTCACTCCCAATTTGGAAGCGATGTTGAATTTTCCAAACCTAAATTGAGAGTAAAAGTCGAATGTGTTAAAAGAAAAATCAAGTAGATATTAAACATTTAACTAACAAATTGATATGTCTAATTGGGCCAACCAAATAAGCTAACAATTTCTCTATCTACTGGGCCACGGGCCCGATTTAGAAGAACATTATTACAAAAGCCCAATCACTTTTAAATAAGGTTCGGGCCCAACAAATTAACCTCAACCGACAAGGTATAAATAACGATTTAATTCATTTATTAAAGTACACCCTATTATCGGAACAATACGACAATTCTTACTCTCTCAACTATTTTTACCATGGCACGTCTGACTTGAGTGTCGGAGGGGTTTTCGCCGGATCAACCCGGCCTAGTTCACGTGTTCTCTATTCGCAAGTAATCTCATGACCATCTAGAACGTGAGCAGTGATCCACTTTGCTCTCCCAGCTCTCTCTATCTCAACTACTTAAGGTGATCTAATATTAAGATCATCACAGATTATCAACAACGATCTGAATAAGTAACCAATCAATTAAAGAAATAATAATAATCATTAATTAATCATTTAATTAACAAATAATTTAAATTAAAATAAATAAAAAATCAACTGATCACTCCCAAATCGGGCCTAGCCCGCACCAGCCGAAGCCCACAAACACAAACATAGATATCTCACACATTAAAGAAAGAAGAGAAATTGAGAAAATAAAAAAGAAATCTTGTTCCTCCACCGCCCGCGGATGCGTTCACTCCTTCTGCTGTAGTGGTACTTTTCGCAAATTCAATTCACTAATCGCAATTTGTAACCACTCCCTTTTGATTTAAGCTTGCAATTTTGTATACATTATCAAAATTCATGGTCGCTACTAAATTTTTTGGGCATTGATTAATCGTCTTGGAACCCAAGAAACAACGCATGATGAAAAATTTTAGTAGAAGAAAACAACTTGGGCAGCTGTTTTTTAGGCGCCCTAAAAATTATCTCTGTTCTTGATTACTGCATGAAAGATTAGGGTGTTGCTGGGGGTTTGTTTATACTCCAATTTTTTTTTTTTAAATTCAGTGTTTTCTGCTGGTGGAATTTGCTTCAAGATCTAGTTTCAGATTTTTTTATTCTGATAAATTTTATATGATCTTTGAGTTTGCAGGAGTTGGAGAGATGCCTCGTAAAGTGCATTATGGGGTTGATTACGATGACAGCTACGATGTTTATGAAGATTACGACGATGACTATGCCGATAATTATGATTATGAAGTCGAACAAAATGGTGAGGGCAAACTGTTTGATGCTTAGTGTTTTCGACTTTTAACTGCAGACCTTGGATTCTCCTGTTAAATGTGATGTTTAGGAATTTGCAGTATGAGTTTTACGTTTGGCGTTAATGTTATATTTAAGCGAGTAGTGAAATATAGGAAACGCGTATGTAGGTACAGAGAGCCTGTTTCTATCGAACCAAACAAACTAGAGATGACAATAGTTGGGTGGAGAAGTTTTGTACCGTAGTCGCTTGGGGGTTTTAGTTGAGGTAGGAAATTTTTTTTTGTGATCTTCATTAGTGATTACGAAGACCACGAGAAAAAAAATGTAAGTTCTCATGGCATATCGAGTCTTAAAATTCAAATTCATGGGATGTCGTCTGAGAATGATTGAATGTCACAATCAATTGGAATTCTCAATCTTGTCGTTTTCAATATCTGCTGAAGAATGAAATGTACTCAAATCTTAAGATATAGAACTCTAATTAGAAAACATTATTAAATGTGCAACGTCCACCTACAACTATTGATATCGTTTAACATTTTCAAATCAAGCTTTATCCCGCGTTACACTTAATATAGGGCAGAAACTTGAGTAAAACATCTTCATCACAGCTACAATAATCTTAACTAGTAACTTTTGTTGAATGAAGAAATCAATCGCTGAAGCATATTTGAGTTGGGAACTTGGCTTTGAGCCCTTACCTTCTACCCAGCTCGAACAATATTTATATTTTTTTTCCTTTAAGCCTTTAGCTTGTATGAGGGTTCTTGTACTTTTTCGGGGCATCAACTTCTTTAATTCCTCCTTTGTCCCAATTTGTCTTCATAACATTTCCCTTAATCTAATTCTCTTGCCTCTTGAACTTCACTTGCAATTTAGCTTTCACATGATTTAATTTTTTTGCTCTTAGATCTTATAATTATTTGTGTGCAGTTCTTGATATGCGTGATTTTTATACTTCTCTATTTGTTGAAATGTTGCCTGATATTAACAGCATCCGAGACAATGGCAAAGCTAGAAGCCGACAAGTCTGGGGTCTGGCGCTGCCCAATTTGTACCTATGATAATGAAGACAGTATGTCTGCATGTGACATATGTGGAGTTTTACGTAACCCTTTGGTCAAGGCTATTGCTAAAATGGATATCGATGGAGGTATATCTCTATGTAACTCTCTCGCTCTATAAATATTATATATTATTTTTTTGAGAAAAGCTTGTGTTATTGAGTTATTGAGTTACATGAAATAAGAGAAACATGCACTTCTCCTTTCTCCCTTTACATGCTCTCTCATGGTACGAAAACCATTTCTTTTGTTTAAGTTGTCTTCTTTCTCTTTTAAACCGTAGACCAGTTTGGATAGGTTGCACCATAGCTTCATTCTTTGGTGCTTTCGGCAATTTTTTGTTTTAGATAGTTACTATTTTCATTACCGTTAAATCTTTCATAGAGTAGACCCTTTCCATGCAGTGGGTGGCAAATGCAAAGATTCTGGAGCATCAGTGATGGCCAAGTCTCTTTTTGCATCATTGCCGCGAGATATGGCCAAAAGGACTGTACTCTTTGAAGTGCAGAATGATGTTTCGTTCTCAGACGACAATTTAAACTTATACAATCTTGGAAACATTCGTGGCACTTTTCAAGAGTTCAATAGTGCTTTTAGCTCTCAAAATCACAAAGTTAATATAGGTCTGAGCATGTTTCTAAACTGGTTATTAATCAGTAGACAATCATAGTTTTGTTAGATCAAATGAAAATTTTACCCTAGAAGATTAGATATTTGTCTTTACTGTTATGATGGTGATATATCATCTTTCTTGTTTTCTGACATAACATTACACATGTTGATAGCAGCTCCTTTCAAATTCGATGCTCCCTCTCCAGATGATTTGGTGTCAAATGGATTGCGATCAGTGAAATCTAAATCCAAAGGTATTCTTACAGTTATCGAGTATGTATGATAATCGCCTGTTCATTTTCAAAAAAATTGACACTGGCTCTACATGTCGTTGTTCGACCAAATTTTTTTTTGGGCTCGCAGAAAAAACTAAAAAAAAACAGTGTTGAAGTTTTTCCATTTGTTAAATTAACTTATAGAGCCGGTGTCTTTATCATAGGTAACATTTTGAGTAAAAAGGAGACAAAGATTCAAGTTGAATCTGAATTGGTTGCTAAAGGACCAGTGTCCTCTTCAGTACCAGTGACAAGAGAAAGGCGTAATGGAGTTAGTGAGAATGATTCCGCTTCAGGCAGTGGAAACAAATCCGAGGTTTTTGATACTAGAATGAAGGCTGAGACTTCATCATCCAAAACTCGAAAAGAAGAAATTATCGACGAAGGAAAAACATCTACTTCACAGTATAATCCTGAGAAATGGATGATTCCTGATAAACTAGATGCTGGGTTGAGTCAACTAAATCTTGCAATTGTAAGTTTCTAAATTTGTGACAAGAATGCCCCCCAGGAGTAATCCTTTTTACGAATTCCCATAATTTACAATTCTGTCTACCTAGGTTGGCCATGTTGATTCTGGAAAATCAACACTATCAGGAAGGTTGCTTCATCTTTTGGGAAGAATATCTCAGAAGGAAATGCACAAATACGAAAAGGAAGCTAAACAACAGGTAATAACTCTACATTTTCTTTAGGGTAAATTACATATACCCCCCTTGAGCTAAGGTTCATTAACGAAACAAACCCCTCTGGTATTGGTAATTGCATACAACCCCCCGAGTTATAGCTCCGTCTTACAATTACACCCTTACGGAGTTATGAGCAACAGACTCTTGAAGATTCTATGGAATATTCATTATGAATTTCCAGTTCTACCCTTGTACACGTGGCCCAATATACAGTTTTGTTTTGCAGACTAATATACCCGCAGGGGAGGTAAATGTAATATTTTAAAAAAATGTGGACGTTTCACACTTTTACATTTCTCCTTTTTTTTTTCTGTTTAACTAAAGGGGTGGTTTAGACAATTCCATTATTCCGTTAGGGTTTCTGACAGGCTGTTAGTTTCAGGGGGTGTATGTAATTACCAAACGAGTTTTCTAGTTATTTGACCATACCTCAGGGGGTATCCACAATTAACCCTTTTCTTTATTATTTTGCCACGCTTGTAAATGAAACTGTTTGCTAGAAATGTATGTAATTTTCTTCTTTGACCAGGGAAAAGGGTCTTTTGCTTTTGCGTGGGCAATGGATGAAAGTGTCGAAGAAAGGGAAAGGGGTATAACGATGACAGTGGGTGTTGCTTTCTTCACATCTAGAAAGTATCAAATCGTGCTTCTCGATTCCCCTGGACATAGAGATTTTGTTCCAAATATGATATCTGGAGCAACCCAAGCAGATGCTGCTATTATTGTAGTCGATGCTTCGTTGGGTTCATTTGAAGCAGGCATAGATGCCACAGGAGGGCAAACAAAGGAACACGCACAGCTCGTTAGAAGCTTTGGGGTCGAACAGGTTATCGTTGTTGTTAATAAAATGGATGTAGTGGAATATTCCAAGGAAAGATTCGATACGGTGAAGGAGAAATTAAGAACATTTCTTCGCTCTTGCGGGTTTAAAGATTCTTCTATTCTGTGGGTTCCAGCTAGTGCCATGGAAAACCAAAACTTGGTAGCGAATGCTTCTGATGTGCGGTTGTCCTGGTTAGTTGATTTATCGTATTACCTGTTTATTCTTTTCTTCTCCCTTTTCGTCCTAGTTACTTTATGTTATTTTACCTTTATATTATTATGGTGTATGGCTTTTGGGCATGCTCTTATCTTATCGTTTGACGGAAGTCTAAGGAGACAAAATAAGACGCCTCAACTGTATTTTACTAGATTGAAGTTATTATTTGTGAATCAGATTTCTAAATTTCTTTTATGCTTTGATTTCCAACATATAAATTGAGATAAGTTGAAGTTATTATTGGTGAATCAGGTTTAAAGGACCTTGTTTGCTGGATGCGATAGATTCCCTCCAACTTCCTACAAGAGATTACTCCAAGCCGCTGCTAATGCCTATATGTGACGTTGTCAAGTTACCATCACAAGGTCAGGTATCTGCATGTGGGAAATTGGAAAGTGGAGCTATTCGAACAGGATTTAAGGTACATCAACTCTTTCTCGATAAACAAATATTTGGTTCATTATGAAATTCGTCATCAGCTCATTTCAGAATTATTACTCTCTATTCTCCATTGGAGTAAATTATACTTAATCTGGTTTTTTTTGTGTTTTTTTTAATAAAAGAATTGTTAAATTGAAGGCCTTAGACTTGAAATAGATGAAATCGAGATTCGAGAAGGTTTTAGACTTTTGTAAATCTTTTGTTGGTAAAACAGGTAATGGTTATGCCTTCAAGAGAAATAGCAACGGTCCGTTCTTTAGAAAAGGACTCTCAGGTTTGTAATATTGCAAGAGCCGGCGACAATGTCACAGTCAATTTGCAAGGCATCGAGGGCAACCGTGTGACAGCTGGCGGTATGATATGCCACCCCGATTATCCAGTTCAAATCTCAAACTACTTGGAACTTAAGATCCTTGTCCTCGATATTTCAACCCCAATTGTGATTGGTTCTCAGGTGGGATTAACAAAAATATAAACAACTTTTTATCATTCCTTAGAAATATTTTTTCTTTTCTTTCTTGGTTCGTCGGGAGTAATCTCTATGTGTAAACTCGCAGTTTGAATTTCACATACATCACGCGAAAGAAGCTGCAAGAGTTGTGAGAATATTGTCTCTACTTGATCCAAAGACAGGGAAGACAGCAAAAAAGTCTCCAAGGTGTTTATTGGCTAAGCAAAACGCAATCGTTGAGGTTAGTGCATAATTATTTCGACTTTTTTTTTTCGGTAGAAATTAGAAATAATACGAAAACCGTATAAAGAAAAAAAGGGGAAGGTTTTTTACATTTTTTTTTCTTGTTTTTATTATTTGACGAGAAGTTGAGAATTTGATTTTGTTATCTCAGGTGGCTCTGCAAACACCTGTTTGTGTTGAAGAATATAATAATTGTAGAGCTTTGGGAAGGGTGTTCCTTAGAGCATCGGGAAGAACTATTGCTCTCGGTATCGTGACTCAAATAATAAAGAGGGAAGAATAATAGTTAAGACTGTCATTTGATAATGACATATTTTTCGCTAACAAAAGATCAATTATACAGTCTATAGTAAATTTGTTGTAATTCTCGCAATTTTGCAGTGTTCGGTGGGGGAATTTGATTTACGTAGCTTTGTGTGGTGAGTATAGGTCGATCGCTCATGTTTGTATCATCAACTATTTTTTGATAAAAGAATGAGTTGACTGTTATTTTTCGTAGAATAGATATTGTACTATTCCCATTGATTGATTATTCATCGAAAACCGAAATCTTGCTCATCGTATTTGATAACTCGTCTTCTTCCAACACACCCTAGTACTAAATTGAGTCGAGTTCTAAGCTGAATCATGTACTAAGCTAACAAGACGAGTCAACTTGCGGTACAACTGAGTTCATTCGTAAAATGAACTACGAAATTGAAGGACTGGAGATTGAATGAGGAATCTCCAGATGATCAACAGAAACAAAAAAGGGAATATATGCTCAAAGAAAGATAAAAGCATAACAATTGAAAACCTTAAAAATAGTTTGGCCATGTCAGTCTAATAAACCACAATAAAACAGCAAATCAAACCCCCGAAATTCAGTTATCGATTGATCCAAGATTCTCGACTTTTCTAATACACAAACTGTACATTTTATACATTAAATAACAGTGCCTACGAAGTGGCTTTACACGAAGCCTTATTATGCCCAGGTTCCTTACACTTGGAACAAGTGACTGTCCTTTTATCCGGATCCTCGATTTTACTCTGCTCCTTCTTCTGTTCACTTGCCGGACGAGGGGCAGGTGGAAGCACCTTCACATCATCTGATTCAGCATCTTCTTTCACCAAAGGCAAACCGATTCCAGGTATAGGATTTATCGATTCCCTGTACGTCAATTGGTAACTCTCAACGGTGAAATATTTCGAACAATAATCATAAACCCCTTTTCCCGAGGAGTTCAATGCAGCAATAGCATGGCGGCAAGGTATGCCACTGGTCCCTTTCCATTCTAGGCAAGTGCATTCCAATTTCTCGATATTGACAACATGAGTGGACTCATCGTGGACCTCAAACAGAACGTCCGATGAAATGAACAGTCTCAGCCTGTGCGCTTTAAGAGCTTCTCCCTGTACCATTTTCTCTTTCGATGGAGTCAGTTTGGCTGTCCAGTTGCTCGAAGAAATTCGTCGGGTGTTTATTACTTCACTTATCATGTAAATCAGTGCTTCTATCTTCTGCATTAGAGTTGATTCTTTGATTTCGTCCATCAGCTTGGTATATGGTTCCGCCACATTCTGTATGATATAGTTGTATTGCTCGCCTCTGAACGACAAACTTGTCCAATGCTCTGGCTCGACTTGAGTTACCCAATCGTAAGCGCTTGGAGAAATCTGTTTGATTTGCTCGGTGAACTTTTTGAAAACGCTTTGTCGAAGTGCATGAGCAGCAGATAGAAATTTTCCAGGTAAAACTCCCCTTCCTTCGCCCTGGAATGGACCCTTCAAGTTTCGCTTGAAACTTTCTATAAGGTGATACATGGAATAACCATGGTGAGCGTTCTCGAATATTTCGTGCACGGCCTTTTCTAGCCCTTTGTCCCTATCCGAGACAAAAGTCAAAGGTACAGAACTTGACAATGCAGATTTTAGTTGCTCCAGAAACCAATGCCAGTTGTCCTCGTTTTCATTGTTAACAATGCTAAATGCAACTGGAAAGAAACCGTCATCTGCATCGACTGCAGTTGCTGTCAACAAACTTTCATGGTACTTTGATTTCAGAGACGTCGCATTGAGAAAAAGAATAGGGCGGCAATTCTTCTCGAAGCTTTGTACGCAAGAAAGAAAAGAGACAAAAAGGCACTGGAATCTTTTCTCGTCATCGGTCAACAGTTTGACAAAACTACCAGGATTTGTCTCCTCCAACTTTTCACAGAACCAAGGCAAGCGACTGTAGGACTCTTTATACGAACCCTGAAGTTGCTCTCGGGCACCCTCGATCCCACGCCTTACTTGTGTATACTTTAATTCAATCCCAAAGTCACGTGAAATGCTTCTAGCAATTTCCCTAGGCTTGTCATGTGGGGAATCTCGTAACCTATCCTTTATGACACTTACCAACAGTTTCTTTGCTGGATGAGCATTCTTCCAAGATTCCCCTCCACATGTATGAGTATCGTTGAGCTTTTTAATCCTGAACAACAGTGAAGCAGGGACCCAAGATGCATGGATACTCCAAGTACAGCCTTCCTCGACACAAATGCCACTCGCGCGATTGGAGTCATTCTTTTTCAGTTTATAAACAAAGCGGTGAGCAATAGCATACTTTTGCAGTGCCTCTCGGAACTCCTTCACGCTTTTAAAATCCTGTCCTACACCAGTAATACAATCTCTCCACGAGGCAACTAATTTTTCTGGCAAATCATCGTCAGAAAAGCCAGGGCTGGATGGATTGCCGAGATCATCTATTCCCAGAATATCATCATCTGTTTCGTGTTCCCGACTCTGGTTATTTTTCTTACGCCTTCTCCTTTCCCTGTCGCTATCACTAACCGCAACAATAGTTGGACCACGAGCACCCATCGTCCATGAGGCAGTACGCCTCCGCCTTTTGACAGTATCTGCTGGGCCACAAGTCATGTCTAAATCAGACAGGTCCTGGTCAGCATCAACACTGACAGCTACCCGTGGTTTATATTCGGAATCACTGTCAGTACCATGTTCAGAAGATTGGGGTGAGGCGGTATATGTTTCACCGGGGCTTGAGCTGTCTACAACCTTACGAGCTGCTGCTTTAGAACCAGCATGAGCATGAACACGAGGGTCAGCACCATCTTTACGGTTATTGACAACTGGAGTTGCAGCAGTTGTGGGTGCAGTAATATGGTTTACTGTCTCGGCCAGTTTCAGAGCACTGTTCCTGCAGGTATTCCTCAGGTGTTTATTACAAGCAAGTTCAAAAGTGATTTTACAAAGTAGGTACAAAAAATAAATTACCGCCAAAATGGTACAATAACTAGAGAAAGATTTCAGTTATTACAAATCAACAGACATAAAGGGATCTCCCTATGTTATCCCCACAATATCAAGCTATTTAAAACGGAACACTCATCATGCCAAAATGGATAAGTTAAACAACATGAGTAACGACTCATACCTGCTAGCCTGCAGTTTGATAGCATCATGGTCAAATCCTACTTCCCCATCCACAAAAATATCAGCAGTTACTGAGTTCGCATGGAAATCAATCATCCTCTTTAGATCCTTGTCATTTCTTAAAGAAATGAGATTTCTCCTGTTCCCTGGGAGGAAGTATTTGACCGATATTGTTTTCTGATTCAAGTTACACATTTCAGCTACCTTTAATTTCAGATCATCAAATACGGTCTCATGAATGATATTTACAGCATTTGCCTCTCCCCCTTCGTATGACAAGGTACTGTCGCCCTTGGTTACGAACTTACCACCAGACTGGCAAATTAGTATAAGCTTCCCCTTTGCCATCGCATCTATCTTCAGGAAATCAAGAAACGAATCAGTTAAGAAAATAGTGACGGAACGTATTCCATTTTCCATAACACGAGACATCAAATTTCAAGTCCAAAATAAGGTTCCATATAGCACCCATCCAAATTACAAGTTAGCAACACATCAAAGAGACAAACCCCACTAGATAAAACACTGAATAAAACACTACTTCAAAAAAAAAAAAAGACTGAATAAAACACAAACACAAACAATCGTACTTGCAGTTATATACTCGTCATCTTCAAAAAAACTCGCTCTTGGCCAGAAATTAAATAAGGAGTTGGTTGCAAATCTCTATGTTAACTGTTAGTTAATGCCTTCACATTTTAAAGAAAAAAGATTCAACAAAAGAAATTTTGCTTAAGGGTCTAACAACATTACCCAAACAATGCATGCAAATTAAAACGCCCATTATGTAAAAAAATCCTGATAATAATTTTTTTTTAAAATACCTCAAAATTACAAGATCAATTGGGTTGATGGCTGATGCCCGTAATTCAAATTAGCTTTCCCAAGATCGATACCTAGAACGGAAGATAAAAAAGAGTAGGTGATCTGCATTCATCACAATTATCAAGATAGAAACTGACAGAGTTCATTGAACTGCGAAATAAGTCAACACAAAAAAGACGACAATTTTTTTACCAGAAAAAAAATGCTAATCTACAGAAATAACGATACAGGCAGAGAATTGCAGATATCGACTAACAATCAGTTAATCGAGCAGCAAAAACACAAACGTAATAAGAACTGAAAGAATGAAAATTGAAGCTGAAAAGAGCAGAGGAAATTTACCTGTGAACGAGAGAGAGAGAGAGAGAGTGTGATAATGAGAAAAGTTAGGGTGGGGCGATGTAGTAAACCCTAGAAATGGGAGCCGATTTGGTATTTGGGGAAAAAGGAGAGGGCATAGAGCGGAATGGGCTAAAAGTCCCGGGGTTAAATTGCAATTATACATAAAATGTTTATCGTTCCTTTTGTAATTTTTATAAATAAAATATTTACTGTCACACAAATGTTTGTTCAGTAATTCATAAATTAATTAATAATATATTATATATACATGTAAAAAAGGTTTAAAATACTAATCAATTTTGCTAAAATCATAAAAGTTCATCTCTTGTATTTTTTAATAGATTTCATACCAATTTAATTTTTAATACAATTAAATCCTTATAAATTAACACAATCTGGACTAGAAAATATTTATTAATTTAGCAGAATATTAAATTATCGAGCTAATAATTTAGTAGGTCTTTTTGCTAAGTTCGAGACCAGAAGAAACTATTATTTAAACGAGATTATTAATTTATCGAGATTCTACTTTATATAAAACGGCACAAGAGCTAAGCAAAACCACAACTTGCATATTTATCTGTGCAAGTAAATTCCATTAATACAATCAATTATCAATGAAACTTTAATTTATATCAATAATCGAAACAATGAAAATAACATTTAAAAGAAAAATACATTACACTACATTAAAAAAAAATTAAGGTGTTCCTCCATGCAAATATTTCTTTCTTCATTTTTCACCCCTACTTGAAGTAGCATAGCAGAAACAAGAACCAAATTATCTTTCGATTTCTTGAACACAAAACAATTTTACTCAAAGAAAATACGGTACTCCAGTTCTCGGTCCTCGCATTTGGTTGTTCTCCTCTGTCTCCGTGAAAAACTTCACTTCTCTCTCCTAATAAAAGTCCCCAAAAAACGACACAAATTAGAGTTAAATCAACGCTTAGACAAAGTTGTCGATTTTAAAGAACTATTAGAGATAAGAATAGCATTTAATTACCATATTTTCGTTGAAGCTCAATATCGAAGCAACGTTTCCACATCGGTAACAGTAATTTGGTGCAGACCAAACCTGCAATAACACCATCCACAATGCAAACAATACGTAAAGGAACGGTTTTTAGAGGACACGATATATTATTCACACGCTGTAATAGAAATTTATCAACTCACAGTCACAAGCCCTTTATCTTGAAACATGTACTTTAGACCCTCTTGGACAAGTTGATGGGCCCGGCAAACTAGATCGAGTTTATTAATATGATTGAACTGCAAAAACAACAAGTATGTCAGAAAGATTAGGTTTTTATTTTTTGTCGAAACGGATATTTACTGCAACGATTTATTATGAAGCTTTTCGTTGACTTGCCTCGGATGTAACTCTGGAACCAAAAAGCCAGCCTGCACCTCGAGGACTGACTGCCCAGGTTTCAATATCTTCAGGGTCACTCCACATTAAATCACAGAAGGGCCCTTCATGCGGGATTTCACAGTTTCGATCGATGACGCGCATCTGCCACAAAAACACAAGGAAAGAAGCCGATATAACGTTAATACTAACAAGAGACTTTAGTTATATAAATAATCATAACAAGACAAATGTCACATCGTTTATTTTAACAGCTGATCACAATAAATAACACTCGACAAAGACGGAAATGAAAAGGCACAGCAAAATATGCTGGCACTCATGTTCTAGGATATCATAGCATATCATTACAATTTTACATCGATTGAATACTCTCGTATATTTACCTGATCAATACTTCTAACATCTGGGGATAGGCCACCATGCACACATAGTACCTGGCATTCGAGAAAGGCAAATCTTTTATTACCACGAATGAAAAGAAAAATAGAAAATTTCTGTAAGTGGGATCTTCTGAATATGATAAGTTCTTCAAAATTTATTTTCAATGGAAATATGAAGACCCGGATTTTATCAACTTGGTTTTTGGACGAAACATAGTGATTAAAATGAGTGAAGTCAAAACTATACCGTCCCATCTATAATTGCCGACAAAGTTAGATAGTCGAAAACATCTGTGCAGTATCGCCAAGCGTTGGCATTGCCATATTTCCTCTGGCACTCATCATAAAATCCATAAACCTGCCAAGAACAAGGATGTAGAAGCTCATCAGAACTTGGTAGTTTTCAATAATGAGGATGACCTAGTTGTAAATCATGGTTGGCTTTAGGAAATTACCGCGTATTGGCCAAACAATTTATACCAAATGAAACTTCACGTGGTAACAATCAAGAACGGTAAAGAAAACAAGAAGTTGCCATGTCTGTGCTGCTACTACTCAAGAAAAATGTCTTCAGACAGGTCTTAGATTTACTGCTAGTCATTCACTAAACGGTGTTTTAACCCTAAAACTATGCACTCAATTAGATTAATGATGTGAGAACAGTAGGCACTAACTCTTGATCATTATACTTCAATTGAAATCACACAAAACATACACTTCTCAACGCATCTAAAATTTTGTGTCTGGTCAAAATTTCCCTGCAATTTTGGAACAGAAGTGTATGACTACACGAGCTGGTGATACTCATTAAATAAATGAAGACCTCTCTCAAGAAGATTAAGTTCATGATAATCAAAATGTGGACAAAAACAAAGACAGTGGAATAAATGAATCCCCTAAAAAATATCAAAGAATATAAAAACCTATAGCAGCTTACCAACATAGATAGAGTGACGCTCAGTCAACAATTTTGTTAAAAACAAAATTATTGTCGAGCTCCACATAGCAAATGAAAAAAGGAGTATCCTTCTCATCACTCCGTTTCAACCTGCACACTTAAGGCCCTTTATGAAGAGATTTGATGACTAACTCACCATAATTACTTGTCGCATGTATCCGCACTTCATTGAAGAACTACTGAATTCTCAGTAACTAATTGCCAGATATGAAAACATAAACTAGTGAAGTTCAGATTGTTGATTACCTGTGTTAGTTGCCTGCTTTCGTGATTTCCACGTAGAAGAGTAATGTTAGCTGGGTATCTGGCAGAAAATGTAAAAACAATATGGTTATTTTTAATAGGATTCTAACAAAATAAATATAATGATAAAAGGAGTATGTAGTGAATTGACTTGCAAGCAATAAAAGAAATGTAAACTGCAACCATTGTCCGAAAAATTACGCACCTTGCTTTGAGAAGCAAAAGAATGGTGAAAACTTCTAGACTATTATAACCACGATCAACAAAATCTCCCTGCCGATAAAGTCGGTTTCATAATGTAATTACAATATATGTGAATTGAGAATAAATAGAGATAGAGACAGACAACTTACCATGAATATGTAATTTGTCTCTGGTACATGACCTCCGGTCTGGAAAAGTTTCATTAAATCATGGAACTGTCCATGGATATCCCCACAAACTGTCACCGGACTATTGACAGGCTGAACATTTGACTCCTCGATCAAGATCTCCTTTACCTGATTAAGGTAGGGGCAGATTGATTTTAAGATCAAAAGACAACAAAGGAACCATGAGAAAATAAAATAAAAAGATATCGAGTATATAGCAGAAGCATATGAACTCGGAACATAACGTGGCACGTGAGACAATCTGTAAACAACCATAACAATGTAAGAGCTAAGAAGCATGAGCATAATGAGCAAATGACCCGATGTGGACTTGTGTAGCACTACAAGCAAGAGGACTTGTTAAGGACCAACAAGCAATCCTTTAAGCAGCCAAATTAAATGATTTTCAAAATTCTACAACTACTACAAGAAGCATCCGTTAGGCACAAAGTGAACTTTGTTGCCACTGCTAACTTGCTAAGTGAATTTGAAGAGTCTAATCAAAAGGCAGGAGCCCTGGCGATGCACAGTACACATCCCATATTACAAGAAAATAATTGTATTCAACCATATTTAGACCCTATGTTAGATTACACTATTACATAAGTCGAGCATATAGTTCTCTCACATTGACCATGTTTACACAGATTTATAGCCAACAGCATCCAGGTAACCAACATTTAACATATCAGCCACTTATTGGAAATCATTATTTGTTCAACAGCGAGGTGAAGAAAAGGATGGACTGCGAGAAACGGGACACTGCAAGCCCTGTACCTAACTTATCCAGTTCCATGGTATTTGATGAACACCATTATTTTAGCATGGCCGGAAAGGCCTTTCCATGCTACGTCTAGAATCGGAAAAAAAATGATTTTCTTGGACTCACTAGACCTAGAATATTGACATTATTTATGTTAGCAAGAATTACTCTTAAAAGAGAGTGTCTATTGCACTAAACAAGGATCATCATAACAACTAAGTTCAACTGACCAATCCAACGATTAATTGTATCACATTGCCGGAACCTCAAAGAACGAAGGATGCCCAAGGAAACTAATGTTGACAGGCTAAGGTGTGCATAACCAACATATCATCAGTCTATGTTCTCACAACGAAAAATACATAAAATTCGGATTCTACGAATAGTAAAATAGTTCGTTGAAAAATGTTTTTTTTCTCGGAAACTTGACATGAGTGTTTGCAGAGGTACCCAAGTTACAGTTCTTTTTATAATAAATACATCAGTTCAAGAACAAGAATCCTCACAGTGGATTGATTTTTTCCAGAAACGCCCAGAGTATATCCCAGTAGCAAAAGTTTGTCCACCAAAGAAATAGATAAATTGTGAAGATTCGAATTTACATGATAATCAACAAAAGAGTATAATTTCTATGACCCTCTTGTAGCCCAAATAGAGTATATTCACAATAAATTACTAGGTAATAGCCATTAAACAAGGGGGTAAAAAAGAAAAAAAAACCTTCCTCATAAACCCTTTCCACCATTAGAAAGTTACCCCAAAAAAACCCAAACACTCCAGGCAAAACCCTAAATACCAGAACCTAAAAACAACGTTCTCGGTAAAATCGGCGCTTCTCCAATTCTTGCATCCTATTTAACAAATTAATTCTTCATTTTCAAGAATTGCAAGGAAAAATCGAACTAATTAAATGAAAACGAAACAAGTAAAACGAAGAAGAAGAAGAAGAAGAAGAAGAGGGTACGTATTCGCAGAGGAGTTGAAGCTGATCTTCAGACAAGTGTTGGCCCTCTTTGACATTCGTTATCCACTGGTTCAAATCCATCCCTTTTTTTGTTTCCCCTCAATCAAGTAAGCTGGTTCTCCGACGGAATTATTTTCAATCAACAGCAGCAGCAGCTTGGTAAACAGCGCGTCGTCGATATGTATATGTGTATATATATGTTTCTCTTTGTCTGCAGAAGAGAGTTAAGATTTACAGAGAAGAAAAAATGGAGGGGTGAGGAAAGGAAGCCGATCGGAGACGGAGGGAGGCAGGGCAGAGATTGGGCAATGGGAGGGAGAAATTTGTAGATTCACATTTAGCTAAATCAGATTGACATTAATTATATTATTATTCAACCCTTTGTTTTACTACCATATTCAAAATTGACCCCTAAGGTTTTAGTTTAAACATTCTTTATTTATATATTTTATTTTATTTTATTTTATTGTATGTATATAGAGGGTCATAAAAACTAATTAATATTTTTTTTATGAGAAATAATTAAAAGTATCTACTTACCAATATTTATTGCATCCGATTTTAGTATTCGTAAATTTTGATACTTTTCTAGATGCGTTTACGATATCAATATTATTGTGTATTTTTCAGGTACATTTATAATTTCAAATTTATTGTGTATTGTATTTTATATTTGAGGTGAATGGAGAAAATGAATTCTAAACTTTCCGATGATTCCTGTTTTTGGATTAAAAAAAATCGATTTTTTACTTTTTTAGTTTTTTTACAATAATGATTATTGGGCTTTAGCTCGTAATAATGTTCGCCTAGTTTCATATACTAGATAGTCCTAACTCTACTATACTTGATATGGCACTCCCCTATTTTAAATTTCGCTTACAATTAGCTCCCTAACCCATGTAAAATGTCTGGAATACCCCTCATATTATATCGGATTTACAGCTACCAATATTTTTCCACTAAAAAAAATACGACTACTCTAAAAACGTGTTTAACAAAATCATTCTCAATACATATTTATTTATTTATTTCTGTCTCAAATCCTTTTTCAATATTGTTTAGTTCACTAAATAACATTTTCCAACACGGTGTCCTGAAAAAACTTTTGGCACGTCTTTCTACAAACGTTTTCGGACAACAACATATCTTTTGTTCCGTTTGTTTTGAAATCACCGTAAGTCAAAATCGACAACGAGATTAGCCAAAAGATCAAGAAAGAAGAGAAAAAAGGTTCGGCATCATCGTTTAACATCATCCTTCTAAAGTTATATATCGAAAGGGCAATACCATGTTTTAAAGGTTTGGTTGATTTCTTGTTCGTATCAAACGATAGATATCACATTTATAAGTTGATCATCGAATCTAGCTCTACATCGGCTCTTCCAAATTTCTGAAAGACAGGAAAATCATAATTCCAAGAGCCATTATTCCAAATTGAGATCTTGAGCGCCATCTGTACAACTAATAACTATTGAGAAAAGATGATTGAATAACCTCAATGAAACTTAAACTGCATTTTCGGAAATGAAGAAAAATATGTACATTTCGAAACAAAGGCAACATGAGCAACTAACTGATCCTTTGTATAAGGTTTCCCGTATTTCTTTACGAATATTTTATTAATTATTTAACCTAATTAGAGAGTCGTAACTCTAATGTAACTATTTGATCTAATACCCCAAATTTCATTAGTCGAGTAACGTGATTTTTATTACTCTGAGTTTTCTCTAGCTTTTGGATTGCCACGACTCGAGCGTCGAATGATTCTCATGGGGAATGTCCGACAAATTCAAGGGTTGTCTCAAGTGTACGTCCGAAAAATAACAATGCTTGAGACGCAAATAACACAATGTATGAAATCTTGGCATATATTCAAATAGTACATCGTCGTTTATGGAAAAGATCTAACGTGGGATCAAGTATATCTATTTCTCGACCACATCACGTACAATCACCCAATGTCTATTCTTATAAAATAATGACAATGTAGTAAACAATAAAATTGAAAATAAAAAGTAAGATTTATAATATACCTTCCCAAACAATACGTAAACTAAAAACTCTCTTTATGTCGATCTGTGTTTTTTCGCAATACTAGTTTTGCTTTTTAATTATCAAACTCTTCCATTAATAATATGGTTGAACTTCCTTCAACGATGAATCATTTCATATACAAACCGACCCCTCTCGATATCATTTGAACACGTGTCGAGAATACATGTAAAGTCTTGAAGTCAAAACTTCAAAAGTGGACAAAAAGTTAGACCTAGAAACTTGAAAAAGAAAAAAAAAAAAAAAAAAAACCAATAAACAAATTAATAATAAAGTAGGGCATGTGAAAAATTCCCAGTAGACAAGGAAGACGGTGGTAAATGTGGATGGGCGCACGCCACGTGTCTCCCAACCCAACTATATTGAATAAATATCAATCAGCCAAGTCTTGTGCGGAGAAAAGTCGACATTATTTTATGTCGACTAAAATTATTTTAGTGAATCAAAATTATTAATTAGAATAGTGATTAGAAGAATACACAAGGTAATTGATAATTATATATTATTCCAAGTTTGAAATTGATATTCTATTTGCCAAAATGGGATATAACGTGGAGGCGAGTTTCATATTTGCAATTGTTTCTATTGTGAAATCGAATAGCTTAGAAAATTGAAAATATTCGGAACTTGTTCGGTTGAGGAGATTAACAATGATTAATCAAATAATTGGATTTTATTTTGTAATCAAGGCAAATATTATGTTATTATGGTTTATTTTTACTTTTATTGTCTTTAAGAAGTATTTTAGTTGAACCTCCTGATTTCAATAATATAATAACTTTCATTAGATTAATTAATTTTATTTTAATTAATCTTATGTTGGTTATCAAGCGAGGTATTGGGAAATACAAAACTATAGATCTTATTTTCTTATTTTAGTTCTTATTTTTAGTCCTCGTCCGTTTGTTGTCAAAATAAAATTAAATAATTTAATAAAAACTCAATTATTTTATCAAGCACGGAAAGTCTAATAAAAATGTTCATTAAAAAAAAAAAGATAGAACAATACAAATCATAATAATATAATATTTACGGATGAACCAGGTAAGTTATTGTCAATACAAAACATCAAACAAAATCAAATTATTTAATTAACAATATCTAATCTCCCAAACCAAACAAGGCCGCCAGCGTATAACTTAAATTTCCTGAAAATAAACAATTCAAATAAAGCCCACTTATCAAAAATTTGCTACTCACAAGTTCATTAAAAAAAATTAAATATTTCTTATATGTTATAGAAAGTCCGCTTTAATTTGCATGTTATTAGGAAAAAATAATTAAGTACAAATTACATAAAGTTGTAAAATCAAATAAAAAAATTAAAATAAATATTAATCACAATTCACACCCAATCAATTGAATTCCAACATATTATGAAACCACCTTTTGACGACTCTTCGGCTGCCGTTCTGGCGTCTCTTCATTTGCTATTTAAACACACCCCTCTCTCTCTCTCTCTATCTCTAACCATTCTCTCTCTACATTTCGAAATCTGCTTCCACCCTCTGCACAAACTTTTCAGCTTATTACTCCATCTGGTATGGTATGTCATTCTCTCTCTCTCTCTCTCTCTCTCTCTCTCTCTCTCTCTCTCTCCTAATAATGGTAGTGTGTGATCGAGAACAATTGCTTTCCATCGTCTGTTTTCATTTTTTCAGATATGAAATTCAACTAGTGAGAATGACAGACAATTATTTATTTATTTATTTATTTTTATATATTTATTAAGGGGAAATATGCAATACACCCCTCAAATAGAAAATATTTTGAACTAAACCCAATTGACTTGGAAAGACTTTTCCCAACACCCAAATTCCATTCTTAATTAGTGAGACCCCCCTAGACTAGTGTGAGAAGACAAACCTACCCTCAACTACTATAACCCTAATTATTTGCCCACCTACCACTTTCATCTTCTTCTCCATCTCTCCACCTAAACCCTCAAAACACTCCTAAAATTTCAAGCTTCATCCACCCCCGCCGCGCCGCCACCGCAGCTCATCGTCCGCCGCCACCGCCACCGCCGCTCATCGTCCGCTGCCACCGCCGCTCATCGTCGGCGCCGCCGTCACCGCTGCTCATCGTCGACGCCGCCGCCACCGCCGCTCATCGTCGACGCCGCCGCCACCGCCGCCTCTCTCACGCCGCGCCGCCACCACCGCCATCGCCGTTGTCGTCGACTCCCCCTCCCTCTCTTTCGTTAATTTTCTACCTTTATTTATGTATTTTTCGATTTCTCTCTCTTTCCCTCTCTCTATCTCTCTCTCTATCTCTCTCTGTGATAAAATTAATACCATTGGATTCTTTAAATTTACAAATAAAAACAGTCATAACATAGGGTTAAAATTTTGTTGACAAGGACAAAAGTTTGATATTGAATTTGGATTCATTTAGATAATCTCGGAAACCTCGTGACGGTGTATTTAAATTAAAAACTCACATTCATTAAAATCGGTAAAACCATCATCAATAATCATAGAGTAGAATTGCAGATTAAAAAAAAAAGAGAAAAGAATTCAAAGTAATGCGTAACGAAAAAAAAAGTATCTCATAATTCATAGTACCGCAATTCCTCACATAATATCTCTCTCTTTCCCTCTCTCTCTATCTCTCTCTCTCTCTGTTTTTTTTTTGTTTTTTTCTACAGATCTGGAACATATTTATGTATATAGTAGCAGCAACAGTAGCAGCAACATGACTATAGTCATATTCAAATATGACTATAGTCATATTTATGTATTTAGTTAGATGAAATGAAGCGTACTCCCCCTCCATCTTGTTCGTTAATTTTCTCCCTTTATTTATGTACTTTCGATTTCTCTCTCTCTCTTTTTTTTTTCCTCAAGATCTGAAAATATAATTTCAGATTTGTACAGTAGCAGCAACATGACTATAGTCATATTCAAATATGACTATAGTAATATTTATGTATTTAGTTAGATGAATTGAAGCGTACTCCCCCTCCATCTTGTTCGTTAATTTTCTCCCTTTATTTATGTACTTTCGATTTCTCTCTCTCTCTTTTTTTTCTTCTCCAGATCTGAAAATATAATTTCAGATTTGTACAGTTGTAGCAACATGACTATAGTCATATTCAAATATGACTATAGTCATATTTATGTATTTAGTTAGATGAATTGAAGCGTACTCCCCCTCCATCTTGTTCGTTAATTTTCTCCCCTTTTATATGTACTTTCGATTTCTCTCTCTTTTTTTTTTTTCCTCCAGACCTGAAAATATAATTTCAGATCTGTACAGTAGCAGCAACATGACTATAGTCATATTCAAATATGACTATAGTCATATTTATGTATTTTTTTCGAATATGACTGTAGTCATTTTTGAATACGACTATTGTTGAATATGATTGTAGTCATATTCGAATATGTTCTATCTTCTCGTTTCAAGTTGACTTGAAATAACAAGATTCAAATTGTGATTCTTTTGCGATTTTTTGTGTGGATGTTGATTGTATTGTTTCCCTAAACAATAGGGAATCTTAGTTGTTTTATATAATTTGGTAAACATGACTGTACAACACTATATAATCGGATTTTTGAAGCTAAAAATGTAAAAAAAGTGCAATATAAAGAAATAATACGACTACAATTGACATAGTCACATATAGTCATATTCAACTATAGTCATATTCGGCATTGTGAACTGTCCAAAAAAAATTCAGTTTTTTGTTTAAAAAAATAAAAAAAATATTTTTATTAAAAAAAATTAAAAAAAAATGACTAAATAAAATTCGAAAATAATAAATAAAAAAAAATCATTTTTTTTAATTTGGTAGCAATTTTTAGGAATTTGGAAATATATTTTTAGGAATTAAATTATTATTATGGAAAGAGAGAAAAAAAAGGAATAATTGGGTGAAATTATGCTAATTGATATAAGGGTAGAATTGGGAATACAATTTCTAGGGGTTTATCACAAAGAAAGATTTAAGGGGTGGACATATCACCATTTATTAACTATATGAAGGGTTTATTGCTAATGACCCCTTGTTTAAAATCACATTAATATCTGTCACTATATGTCACCCAATTGCACTTATAATATATAGATGCAATAAATTTCTCTTGCAATAAATTTCTCTGAACACGTGGCCCAGTCGGTAGAGAAAAAAAGTGCGGTGTCATTTTATCTGAGTTTAAGTACTTTTGTCGACGTCTTTTCGATCGAACTCATCATTCATAAAATTAATTTGACATATTTTTTGTTTTTTTAAGTTGTGCAAGTTATTATACGAGAGGGCAGAGTGTACTTATACTTAGTGCACTTCAAGTATCTATAATCTTACAATTTTTTTTAATTAGTAGTACTACATGTTTTTGGTGGTCCTTTAATTAGTACTATAATTCTATAATTAATTATAATTATAATTATAGTACTATATGCTTTTGGCTTCCATTCTTTATTTTTTTCTTTATTAACTAGCAAAATTAGCCCTTCAATTATTTGCTCAAGTATTAAGTCAATCTTTTGAGTATTGGTAATATATTAATCTTACAATGATTTTTACGCTACCCGAACCTCAAAATTTTAATATTATCATCCATCGTTTTTAAGTAATTCAATGTTGTAATTATTTTAACTTCTTTCGTCCAAATTTTTTGGCCGTTTTTGTTTTCTTTACGTAAATATTTACTTATGTTACGGTGATAAACAAATCGGGAGCATCTTCAGCACGCATTAACTAAGCTTATCTATTAGATGCTGCACCTGGTGTAACAGACCGAGTGATTTTGAACCGCATATCTATACAAATAACTATTCACTAAAACGCATACATACGCATGAGTGTGTGTTATTATGTGTAAATCAATGATTTACGATCATTCAGTATATTTCATCAGGTGTAGCATCTGCAAAACCAACCTATAGTCTATTATCCGATATTCTCAATAATAAAACATTCTTTATGAATAGAGTAAATTGAAAATTATAACTCATGATATGCCGAAGAAATTTTATTTATTAAAGGGAATGCAATTACATATATATCATTAATATTATATTGGACAATATTAATACAAAGTAAAAGCATCAAATCCAGTATACTTCAAACTTCACCCAGTAACTGGACATTTAAACAAACACTAAACAAAGATTAATTCTTCCCACTTATTGCTTAATGACACATGATTAAGCACACTCGCACACAGCATTATTTATTAAGCTTTTCAAAGAAAATGTGGGGGGTAATTTTTAATTTAATTTTGTAATTGATTATTTTCCGATGTGATGAGTCTCGATGACTTTGGTCATGTCGATGAAGAAGGAGAGGAGAGAGAGGGGATGCTCGACGTCTTCGTTCAGCAACTCGTACTCCAAAGTCCACGTCACCAAATCGATATCGTTTTTCGTCTCGACGTGGATTGTTATAAGAAAATCTTTGTATTCCTCCAACAAACAATCCCCCTCGATGCTTTTGAATTGAATCAATTTTTGCTCCTCGTCTATCGCCGTGATCACTTGTTTCGAGCTCCTATCTTTCCCACCTACATTCATAAAAATAAATAATAAAAAAAATTAAATTAAAAATTTCTTTTTCCAATTGTATATTTTTATGAATGCTCAATTCTTTTATAGAAAGAAAAAAATAATAAATTAGACTTACCATGGGTGTACTTAAAGGAGAGAACTGTACCAACGTGACCAAATTCGCCCTCGTGCAGATCGCACCCTTGTACTTTTCCGGGGTGAATCGTCGAAAGTTGATCGGGCTTGTGCCTAATTAATTCATGAAACACATCCCCCCCAGCCTTGAACTCAATTGCAGCAATTAATTTACCAGGTAAACCCATTTTTTTTTTCTTTTCTTTTTTGCAAATAAAATATATATTTGATATTTGAGTAATTAGCAAGGAATAAATTTGCTCAAGTGATATTTTTGAAAGGTGCATGGTGTGTGCTTTATATAGAATATGAAGAACCAACTTGGGTAATTTTATATTATTTGCTTTCTTTCTTTATTTAGTTATGGAAATTTATTGGTCAAATCTCATTAATAGTCCCTCATTTTATTATTTCGTTCTGTTTTAGTCCCTTGTGTATTTATTGTCTTATTTTCATCCTTCAACTCTACAACTCGTATCATTATAGTTGTTCAGTATATATAGTTTGATTAACTATAACAGAATTGTTTATTTATGTGATGGAATATTCCTTAATAATAAACTAAAGACAAAATATTTATCAATAGAAGAATGTAAATGATATATTATAATTATTAGATATGTTCATAAATTCAAGTCATATCAACAAAATAAATCTAAATGAATAATTATTATTTTTTTCAAAAAGATTATTTTTATATCAATATAAATTAATATTTCATATAATTTGCAACTTTAGATTTTTCTTGGCTGCATATATTATTTATTATAATTTATTATTTACTATTTTTTCATATTTCAGCAAAAATAATTAACAACGGATACCAACGAATCTTAAAGAAATTCCGTTAAAGTTAACAAATTTATGCACCGAGAGATTATAATGAGATGGATTATATAAATGAAGGATGAAACTGAAACAAATGAGACATGAAGGACTAAAATAGATATAGATATCAAGATAAAGGACCATTAGTGAAATTTGACCAAATTTAAATATTTAATCTTTTTTCAGAACATGGATGAATACAATTATATTTGATTGCCAATTTAGGGCCACATATTCAAAATTATTGAATTATATACATTAAGAGATTGCCCCTTTTTAAGTATTGTGGGACCCACTTACGTCGAGCGCAGGTGAGTCTTTAATAGTTTTATCCAAAAGAAAGTTATTTTAATATTAGTAATAATATATTCGGGTAAAACCCGGACTTGCCCCTACCCGTTCTACTTGCATCAAATTAATGACCAAATTAGTTGACTAATCATTAATTATTAACCAGCTAATCGTGGTTTAATTTATTTGAACATAATCTTGATGATCTTATCAAATATAATCTCATTTTATGTCTACTGTTAATTATGCATTTTATACATACACTTATATATTTTTAAAACTAAAAAACAAAAATATGTTACATATTTTTAAACTCAATTATTTGATGCAATAAAAAACATGCCTAGAAGGCAACATAAACCATGATAACACAATATTTACGTATCGACCAGACAAGTTATCGGTGATACGAAACATCAAACAACATCCAAATATTTGGTTAAACGTGACTAATTTCTCCAGCCAAACGACACTTTAAGTGTATTAGTATTTCCCCCGTGCGATGCGCGGGGTGACATTTCAAAAGTGAGGTAAATAATTATAATCGGCATATTTCAAGAAAATGTAGAGAAGTCATCCATAACTATAAGAGGAAAACAATTATATATAAAAAAGGGCAAATGGCAAAAAGGCCCATCATATGGGACTTAAATGCATTTTGGTCCACAAAAAAAACAGTCTCTCAATTAAGCTCATCCCCATATCTTTAGTCTAAAATACCCTCAATAATATAATTCTTATCAATTCCATCCATTACACTCTAACTTCATTAATATTACACATTGACCCCGAATTTAAACAAATATATCACATTAACCCCCAAAACTTTTTTTTTTCAGAAAATATTTTTTTTTCTGAAATGTTTTTTTCCAGCCAGATTCCGGCGTTGACCGCCGGTCTCCAGCATTGACTATTTTTTTTTTGAATTGTTTTTCTTAGAAAAAAAATATTTTAATTAATATTACTGTCTTGGCTACTAAATTACTGTCTCAAACAGTAATATTACTGTTTGGGACAGTAATATTATGAATATTATTTTTCCGAACAGTAATATTATGAATATTATTTTTCCGAACAGTAATATTATTAATATTATTGTCTAAGATAGTTAAATTACTGTTGGAGACAGTAATTTAACATCCAAGGCAGTAATATTAATTAAAATAATTTTTTTTAAGGAAAAAAAAAAAAAGGCAATTAACAGTTAAATTACTGTCTCCGACAGTTAAATAACTGCCAGAGACAGTAATTTAGCAACGAATACAGTAATATTAATTAAAAATATTTTTTTTAAGAATAAAAAAGTCAATTAACAATTAAATTACTGTCTCCGACAGTTAAATAACTGCTAGAGACAGTAATTTAGCAACGAATACAGTAATATTAATTAAAATATTTTTGAAGAAAAAAAAAACAAAAGAGTCAATTAACAGTTAAATTACTGTCTCCGACAGTTAAATAACTGCCGGAGACAGTAATTTAGCAGCCAAGACAGTAATATTAATTAAAATAATTTTTTTAAGAAAAAACAAAATTATAAAAAAAAAAAAAAAAAAATCAACGCCGGAGACTCGGCGGTCAACGGCAGTGACCGGCCGGAAAAAAATTTTAGGAAAAAAAAAAAAAAAAAAAAAGTCAACGCCGGTCAACGGCGGCGACCGGCGGTCTCTGGTGGTGGCGGGTCAAAATTGAAATTAGGGTTAAAATTGGTTAATTGATGAAATTGGGCTAAATTGGGGTGTAAATCATGAAATTGGAGTTAAATTGAGTTTCAATGAATTGAGGATAATTTTGGTATATATAAAAGGATTTTCGTTATTTGCAAATAAGTTTGAATGGGTTGGATTTATTTGAAAGACAAAAAAATTGGATGTCCCTTTTTTAATTAAGTGCCCTTGTCATGGGCCTATTTGTTATTACCCCTATACAAAAAAAGATAATCACAAAGATACCATTAAACTTGTTTGTTATTTCTATGTTACACCCGATGAAGGTTACACTGGATGATTTTTTACCGTTAATCTACATACACTAATGTGGGTGTGTGGGTGTGTTATGTGTATATAAATGGTAAAGATTTGCTCGGCGTATTTCACCCGGTGTAGCATATAAACCAGAGTTGCTGATCGTTTCGTAAAAAAAATAATAATAATAATAATTACAAAAGTGTCATCATTGATTAACCAAAAATAGGGAAATAAAAAAATTAATTAGCAAATTAGTGGAAAGGATAAAATTACAAAAATATCATTAGAATTGTCTTATTATACGTTAACTCCTTTTGATATACAAGATTTAACTCATATAATACCTCAATAACAGCATTTGGCCTCGACAAATCTTGTTCTCCGATTTGGTTAATGATTTTATGTTTGTTGAACTGCACAATTAGTTGAACTTATTGTTTAATTAAATAAAACAAATCAATTAATAATTATTAATTACACCCACATACATTTAGTTTATTTTAAGAGATAGCCTTACGTTACCCACGAAAGTCAAACCACGTTTTTCGTGTCCCAGAAATCAAATCTTATCAATGTGACGTTTTTATTGATTTCATTCGATTATATTTATTAATTTAAATTTATGGAAATGAAACCTAATTGAAGATCTAGTTTAAACATGAATTATTACTCTCTTTTACACTCTAATCCACCGAACCTCAGGTGCTATCCTTTGTCGTAAAACTGGTGCAAACGCGCCAACGACATTTGAGTGTGAGTCGTCCTTTACCGGGCCTTCCCCTAAGGTATGGTGTATTTACGAAAAAACTTCTTGTTTGGATAATTATATAAACCCCCCAACTATGATTTTTTCTTACACCTCCACCTTTATGATGTCAAATTTAACATAATCATCTAGATTTCGTGGAATGTGCTTTAATTTGTACACATTTTATGTAAAAATACAGTTTCTTATGCACCACAATCTGATATATACAAGCCAAAAAACACATATTATGATCATCTTGCTTCAAAATGTGGAGTTCGAATGGGATAAACCGGGTACAAAAGTGATAGTATTCCATATAATCTCGAAGATTCCACTAAATTTGAAATCGCAGGGGTGGACGTGTAAGAAGTTTTATAGTTGAGGGGAGTGGTTGTAATTACCCAAACAAGAGGGGAGTTTTCGTAATCTGACCATACCTCAGAGAATGGTTGTAATTTACCCAATAATATTAGACACTAAACCTAATCGGACTACAAACCGAGTTCATCCAACTTATTTCACCTTCCTCTTACTCTTAAAACCAGGTGAACACTTCTAGGTAAATTTGTAATCATAATAGTGAATGTGTAAGACAATACATAGTTGAGGGGATGATCGCAATTAATAATTATACAAATAAGAAGATTTTTTTCGTAATTATAACTTACCTCAGGGTGCCGGAGTGTGTTTTTATATATTATTGATTTCATTCTTGTGTAGTTTAGTGAAACATAATATTTTTCTGAATACAAGTTGCATAAAAAAAAAAAAAAAAAAAAGCACACATTGAAAACACACAGTGTTTTTATATTATTGATGTCTTTCTTTAGTGAAACATATTATTTTTCTGAATTTAATTTCTTGCTAGTTTATGATATGTCTCCATTAGCTTTTGTCACACATTTGATAAATTATTGAATTATACATAATAATTGGCTTAAAGTTGCAGGACCCACCTCAAGCAGATGACTCTTGGAGTTTTTAACTTTTTTTTTTTTTTGTTAAATACAAATTACATCCGATACAATTATTATTGTCGCATATACCCCGTGTATTACAAAATACAAAATAGGATGGACAAAAATATATTTTTTTATATATATATTTTTTTTTGTTTAAATAATTAATGGATGGACAATATTTTGTATTTGCAATTTTCTGAATGTGGAATAATTAGTTTTATTTATATTCATGAGTATTTAGTTTTTGATTGTGATGATTTTTTTGGGATTGGAACTGAAATCGTGCATTAGATTCCACTTTTCGACATCCATCCTAATTTAAAGAAGAACCACAAAAAAAAAAAATCGATTTTTATTTTTGAAATATATGATTATAATACCAAAATCATTTATTATTTTATCCTAAGGATGGATAAGGAAATATAATTTTGTGAACTCAACCAAATTTTGATCCAAAAAAAATCTGATTTTGTGATAACTTTATTTCATTCCGAATTTGAAATTCCCGAAATGAAGTAACGCCCATCATCTCTCTCATTCCATCGTGTGTATTTCTTATGAAACAATGTGTATATCGATATCGAAACGGGATATATATGTTTTGGCTCGTTTGAATTTTTTAGCCTACTCTATTACAAAATCCTGACTCCGCGCGCTACTTATTAAGCTAACAATATTAGTCACGTTTTTATGTGACCAACTGTCAAGAAGCTACTAAGTGATTATCTAAAATAAAAGCTACTAATTCAGAATATGGGGATAATATTATTTAATTTAAAGTTATAAAATCATATACTAAAATTAAAATAATGCTTAAAAATATTTTATTTATTGAATACAACATCAATACTAGCCAATATATATAGTACAAGAAACAAAACAACTTCAAACTTCACACAACTTATTTAATAAAGCAAACCCTAGCCAAGCCAAGATCTCCCACTTACTACCAACAATTAAACACACACACAATTATTATGCATATGAAACATTGAAATAAACATATAATTAAAGTACAATATTATTATTAATTCAAGGTTATAAATTATTTCTCAACGTGATGAGTCTCGATATCTTTGGTCATGTCGATGAAGAAGGAGAGGAGAGAGAGGGGATGCTCGACGTCTTCGTTCAACATCTCGTACTCCAAAGTCCACGTCACCAAATCGATTCCATTTTTCGTCTCGACATGGATTGTTATAAGAAAAGCTTTGTATAGTTCCATTAAATCTCCTTCGAGCATCTTGAATTCCATCAATTTTTGTTCCTCGTTTATCGCTTGGATCACTTGTTTAGCCTTCTTCTCTTTCCCATCTGCATATATATATTCGATTTTTTTTAATTTTTTTAATAAATACAAATGAAGAATTATTAATTTAATAGTAAATTAAAATACAATAAATTGTATTTATAGTCTTACCATGGGTGTACCTCCAAGTGATGATAGTACCAACATGACCAAATTGACCCTCATGCAGATCACAACCTTGTACTTTCTCAGGGGTAACATTGGAAAGGTGATGTGGCTTGTGCCTGAAGAGTTCATGGAACACATCTCCACCAGCCTTGAATTCTATCGCAGCAATTAATTTACCAGTTAAACCCATTTCTCTAAACTTATTATAATTAATTAACACTAAAGATATATTTTGTATATATATATAGATCTATATATAAAATGAAGTTCTTACAAATGTTTATGAAAGGTGGCTCTTTATATAGAAAAAGCTGAGAACTTATCGTACCCCACTTGTATTTTTAAATATATTCTTGATCAATTATTGTTTAGGAATTTTAGGAAAATTGTATTATTTTATTCTCTAATCTTTATTGGTACAATTTATTTTTTATGCGAAAAAATAAATAATAATTGGTACAATTGACCCAAAAAACTTCGAACACCCACAAGAAATATCCACACGCGCGCCACGTTTAAATATTTATATATATATATATAAATGAGGATGTGTTATATATCGTTTTAGTTTTAATAATGTTGTTTTGACTTCAAACGTGATTTTGACCATTTTTTTGTTTGAATTGAGCAAAATTCAGAACATGGAATTCGTAGCTTTTTGAGTTAGCCTTTTAATCTAGAGTAAACTGCAAATACTACCCTTGTGTTATCTCAAAATAGCAAAAACCCCCCTGTGATAAATAAACTAGCAAAAACCCCCCTGTGAAATTTAGTTAAAGGCAGAATCCCCCCTAGCTGATTTTTTAGACTTGAAATGACAAAATTGTCCCTCAAAATGTATTTATATATATACATATTATGTGTATATTTATTCTTTTTAATTTATTTGTTTAGAAATAAAAAAAAATAGTAAACAACTAAATTGATTATTTTTTAAATAAAATAATTAAAATATTTATAAAATATAAGTATTTATTAATTGCAAGACTCCAGGGGTATTTGTGTCTTTTTATATCAAGTCAACCCTCAAATAGTTCCATAGGGGGGTTTTTGCTATTTAAATAATTTCACAGGGGAGGTTTTTGCTGGTTTATTTATCACAGGGGGGTTTTTGCTATTTCGAGATTACACAGGGGTAGTTTTTGCAGTTTACTCTTTTAATCTAACTTGGATCGCCAAGATTGGAGGTCTGTTGAGGAAATTATGCATTAACCAATGAACACTGCCCACAACTTTGATTTTTAGAATTATGTAAAATAAAAAATGCAACTCATTCATGTGTAACTTTATCACCCGACGTCCAATCCACCCGATTCAAGTTGGATTTGAAAGCTAACTCAAAGGACTACGATATGCATCTTTTAAATTTTGCCGAATTCAAAGTAGAAAATGGTCAAAATCACGTTTTAAGTCAAAACGATATTAATAGAATTGAAACGACATATAAATGCCAAAAAACACATTTTATGGTCATCTTACTTCAAAATGTGGAGCTCGAATGGGATAAAACGGTTACAAAATTGAGAATATTCCATATAATCTAGAAGATTCTGTTAAATTTGATACTGTAAGAGTGGACGTGTGAGAAGATTTATAGTTGAGGGGTGTGCTTGTAATTACCAAAACATGAGGATTTTTTTCGTAATTTGACCGTAATCAATATGGACCCCAATTGGAAGACAACGAAATCGTGTCGATCTACTTCTGGCATAAATAGTGTATGACGATCTCTTTTTATCTCATTGGCAATATCACCAGTTGAAAAAAAATAATAATAATAAATAAATAAATAAAATAATAATAATAATAATAATAATAATAATAATAATAATAATAATCATAATGATCATGATCATGATAATAATAATAATAATAATAATCATCATAATAATAATAATAATAATAATAATAATAATCATAATGATCATAATAATCATAATAATAATAATAATAATAATCATAATAATAATAATAATAATAATAAAGCTGGAAAATATGAGATAACTAGAGAAAATGGCTGTAAAATAAGAGATTTAAAAAATAGGGGTGATTACAAATAAACTCATCAATGGGTACTTATTCATAAAGAGATCGAGACAAAAAACTCATTTATCAATAAGTCAACGCCGGATTCCGGCGTTGACTTTTTAATTTTTTTTCCGGATTTTTTCGCCGATCAACGTCGGTCTCCGACGTTGATTTTTTCGACTTTTTTTGTCATTTCTTTCATTCTGTAACTTTTTTTTCGTTTAAAGATCAATATTGTTGTGATTGACAGTAATATTAACTATATTACTGTTAAACACAATAAAATTAACTAACCTATAGTTTAACACAGTAATAATGCTATATTAATCTCTAGCACAGTAATATTAACACAACAAAACTCATTATTATTGTGTAATAGAGTAATATTACTATGTTGACCGTTCAACAAATGTAAGCATAATAAAAAGCCAAAAGAATTAATATTACTGTGAGTGACAATAATATTACTATAACAACAATAATATTACCGTCAACCATAGTAATATTTACAATAATAGACAGTAATATTGTTACGTTACTCCGTGAATAACTCAAACAAACAAAAAATTTCAAACAAAATAATAATATTGATGTGGTTGATAGCAATATTACTATAACAACAGTAATATTACCGTCAGCCACAGTAATATTATTTTGTTTACAGTAATATTACAATAATAGACATTAATATTATTACGTTACTCCGTGAATAACTCAAACAAAACAAAAAAACCCAAAATAATAATAATAATATTGATGTTGTTGACAGTAATATTATTGTGTTTACAGTTATTTTACCGTCAACGACAGTAATATAATTACGTTGACTTGTCACCAAATCAAACAAAATAAAAAAATAACAAAAAATAAAAAATAACAAAAACTAAAATATAATAATATTACGTTAATTTACTGTCAACGGCATAATAATTACATAAATGTATTGTCAACGGCAGTACAATTACGTTAATTAACTGTCATTGAGAGTATAATTACCTAATTCAGTGACAGCACAATTACGGTCAACGTTTAGCGGCGGACGTAAAAGGAAAAAAAAAAAAAAAACTTAAAAAAACACTAAAAAAATCAACGACGGAAACCGGCGAAAAAATCCGGAATAAAAGAAAAGAAAAAAGAAAAAAAAAGTCAACGCCGGATACCGGCTAAAAAAATCCGAGAGAAAGAAAAAAAAATTGAAAAGTCAACGCTGGAATCCCGCGGCAAATTTTTTTTTTAAATTTTTTTTTTGGAAAAAAATAAGTTTTGGGTCAAAAATGAATAATTTGTGAAATTTGGGGTCAAATTGAAATTAATTTAAGTTAATGGTGAAATTGGAGCATATTGAAGTATGCCTAAAAAAAAGTCAAAATTGGATTTTTGTGAACAAAATTAATTAAATTGGGGTTACAATTAAGAATTGTGTATAAATGGTTGAGGGTAATATTGGCATATACATGAATGTTTCATTTATTTATAATAAATATTAAATGGATGGGCTTCTTGGTGAAAGAGATATAGCCCATAAACCTAGAATAATAAAGATGTTTGGTTGGGGACAGTCATGCACAAAAACCCCTAAAAAATATATTAAAAAATCAATTGAGTGGATTATGAATTTCAGCCGGGAATTCGTCGTGTAAGTAAGTAGAAAAAAAGCGACTGCAAAATATGTGATAGAAATATATAAATTACAAATATTACGTTAGGGTTTCTTAAATAGCCTCGCCGTTTCTTTCTTTAAATATAAAAAAAGGGATGTGATAAATGTCGTTTGAGCTTTAATAATATCGTTATTTAATCATTTTTATTTTCAAGTTTTGCAAAACTCGAAAAATAGAATTTGTAGTATTCTGAGTTAGTTTTCTAATCCAACTTGAATCACCAAAATTGGATGTCAGACGAGAAAGATATACATGAATCAATGAATAATGCCCACAACTTTGATGTATTGAGGTATCGGAAGTGGAAAATGTGACTCATTCATGCATAACTTTGTCACACGGCATCCAATCTAGCGGATTTAAGTTGGATTAGAAAGCTAACCCAAATGACTACAGTACTCGTGTTTCGAATTTTGTCAAAATCAAAATAGAAATATGGCAAAATCAGGTTCAAATTTGAAACGACATTCATAAAATTGAAACGACATTTAACATCTCAGATAAAAAATATTACATAATTAAGACTTTCGGATTCAGGTTTTCATTTTCATTCCTGGAATTATATAAATTATTAATAAATTATTTAGAAAATCTTGAATCATTGATTGACCAATAAAAGCTGGTATGGCTTCCACTAAACTACTGACAACAAGAATAAATAATTACACAGAAAATAAATATTTATTCGACTAGTAATTATCTCTCAACTACCAATAGGTGATCACAGTAAAAATGAGAAAAGTTGAAAATAAATAATTAATAATTTAAAGGCAATTATTAGTAGTACATCATTGAGATTTTGAAATATTTTTTGTTATTGAAAAGAATATAATAATAAAATGTTTAGTATTAATGAAGTCTATTTTATTTTGTCAAAATCAAGTTGACGAGTTGAGAAAAAAAAATATTGTTTATTGGTGAATGAAGATGAGTGGTTATTAATTATTATGCAATCTGGAAATTGGTGAATTCGATGTGTCAATTGACATTAATGAGTGATGAGTGAGGGAGCAGTTAATGTAGTATCTTTCCACAAGATTTTATGTAATTATTTAAACATCCGAATCATATGTTGACTTTAATTTTAGTTGACCAAATGTAATATTGAAGTGCTATTTACAAATTTTCTTATTACATAAAAAAAGAGAGAATTAGTAGCATCCTTCATTTAGCAAATTCATCTGGGGTATTGGAATGGAAAGAGCTGACAGAGCTAGGTGGATCACGTGCTCACGAGCTAGATGGTCCTCAGACACCTTAATTAACTTGAGAATTCTGTGAACAGAAAACAGGTAATCTAAGTCGGGGTCGGAAACCCCTCCGACGCTCAAGTTAGACGTGCGGAGTTGGTCATAGTAGAGAGAATACGAGCAAATGAATTGGGATAATATGACTTACCCTAATTAAATAAATTTAAATTTTATTTGTACTTCTGTAATTTGGCCGAGGCCAATTTATCAAACTCAAACCTTATTTGAAGATGATTGCACCTTCATAGCAATTAATTTTAAACAAGACCTGTAGCCCAGTAAATATTGGTCCATTGGAATAGTCATATCTACAAACTATAATTACTTGAA